TTAAAAGATATTATAAATATTATAATTTAATAAAGTATTAATATAATTAATTAATATTCTAATAATAAAGTTAATATAAAAGTTATATATTTATAAGTATTACTAGTTTTAATTTAAGTATAGGTTTTTTTAATAAAGCTTTTAAGAGTTTTATAAACTAAGCCTTTAGCTTAAATAGAATTTAGTCCTTAAAATATATTCTTACTAAGTTCCTCTCTGATAAAAGTAGGTGCTTTTCTAATAACGTTTTAATATGCATGCATAGGAGTAGGAGCGGAAAGAAGCTATTATGTTGTTAGCCAGGAGCCGGGAGGCCCGGAGTGGCGAGGTGTCAAGAGCAGATATGGAAGTGCACCGGCGGCATGTCCGGTTGAGAACATTGTTCCCGAGTACAACTAGTGGTTCTTGTTCTTTCAAATGGTTCATTGCTGGCTACAATCCAGATGTGCTATATGCAGTTGAGATCCGTGACTGAGAACTTACCAGAACAGGGCTTACACTCTTCAGTAAAGCCCACGGACATCTTCCGAGACAAGCCTCAATCCCCGCAGAGCTTAAGCTTGCGCTTGTTGTTCAGCTGTGCTTCCAAACAGTGCTTAAGTACGGAGTATAGTCTAGACGAGAACAAGCACACGACCCATCCTACCTAATGGCAAGAAGGCGTGTTGAAGTTACAAGCCACTATGCTATTTGATAGCTGCCTCCTTGGACAGAGAAGTGGCAAAGGGGAATCAATAACATGTTAAAATATACGTGCATATATCAAGTGCAAGAAAGTAGAATGAATTACTGTGAATCCTTACCGCCAAGGACCTGCCAAACATTAGCCAACTATTCCTCGTTCCGCGCTTCGTCTAATTACCACCATTAGACTTAATCAGCGCGCAAGCTCAAGTCTGTGCGCATGGGACTACCTCAGTAAGATAGCACACCCTATATTCGGATTGCTCAGCCCTCGCATTAGCGTACTCATTCGTGGCGTTGTCCGTTAACCTCTATGGATAGGTTCAATAGATAGCAAGCTGTTCTCTATGGCGCCTGTAGACTTCGTAGGCCCACGGACTAAAATCACGGGGAAACCCTGCTCAGAATCGAGGCAAGCTTTTGGGCTAAGCAGGGTTCCCCGCGCTCGACCCCGTGGGTTAGCAGCTTAGGTCTACGGGGCCGAGGTTGCGCCAAGACAGAAACGGTGATATACTCCGTGGTCGCAACTCGCTACTTCTGCTGGAATCTGGAGACTCTTGCTGCTCTAGATGTATCGGGATGGCCACAGCGATCAGAGAAAGGGGGAAGGTGAACCAAGATGTTCAGTTCTGAGACTCTTTCTACTTTGCTGAAGCACCATACATCGAAGTCAAGCCTACTTGCTTATCCCACCTCAATATTAAGCATCATTCTTTAAAAAAAGAACAAAGTTGCGATTGGCAGATCGAACGACGTGGCTTTCCTGCAAGTGTGGGTTCCATCTCCAGATACTAGACTAGATTCGTGTTAAAGGTGCCGAAGACCCGATCACAAATGACTTGTTAGGGTCATTTGCCATCACAGAAACTCTGGAAACTATCAGTCTCCCTGGCTTCTTATCAATTCCTGTCGTTTAAATCAAGTCTAGACTCTCAATAGCGTATCCTGACCCCTCGTTTGACGACAGGATGCCTCGGCACCTTGATCGGAGCAGTCTGTATAAGTAGGATAAACAGTCGATCAGTGTAACATAACAATATACAATTTAAATACTCCTAAATCCCTACTTCACTAAGCAATTCAACTCTTCTTCGCTAGATATTCTATTGCAGATATCGCCATGGGTCCGACGCAATTGGACGCCAGTGGGCAGAACTCTGAGAGCGAGAAGCCTACTCATGTAGAGACTGAACATGCTGCCGTTGCATATCAGGAGAAGAATGCCTTCGAGGCTCATGCGGATGAGTCGGGTGAGGGTCAAGATGCAAAGGTATACACACCACGAGCCCTGATATTCATGCATACTGACGACCATATCTCAGATGACAAAAAGACGATTCATGGCCCTCGTTGCGCAAGCGTTTCTCTGGACAGGCTCCCAGATCCCAGTCTATCTATTCGGAGGTGTCCCGCCGTACATCTATGCTGATATCGGAGGACACGATCGTTGGACCTGGTTTGTTCTAGCCAACCTTCTGTCACTAGCAGCGGTCTGTCCGTTTGTGGGATCTCTATCGGATATGTTCGGTCGTCGATATGTTGCCCTCTCCGGCGCATCGTTTATCGTCCTTGGAATGATCGTCTGTTCTACCGCCCACACTATGAATGTCTTTATCGGTAAGCCTCCATCCCTTCCCCTGCAGATCAAAGCTAACTAGTAACTTAGGTGGGATGGTCTTGGCGGGTATCGGAGCTGGTATCAACGAACTCACCGCTCTAGCAGCAACATCTGAGATGGCACCGACTGCCCAGCGTGGCAAGTACGTCTCCATCCTGATCTTCACAATCGTGCCTTTCTGCCCCTCTGTTCTCTGGGCACAGCTCATCGCCGCACACTCGACATGGCGATACATCGGCCTCTTCTGTGCTCTTTGGGCTTTTGTCGGTCTTGTCTTGACAGCGGTGTTCTACTTCCCACCGCCTCGCGCCAACTCTGAGGGTCTGACTCGAGGAGAAATCTTGAAGCGCATTGACTTCGTCGGTGGTTTTCTCAGCATTGCTGGAATGATCTTGTTCATGGCTGGACTGCAGTGGGGTGGATATATGTATCCCTGGAAGTCGGCGCATGTCCTTGTTCCTCTGATTCTTGGAGCGGCTTTGGTGGTCCTTTTCGTCGTCTGGGAGGGCTTCTTTGCGCCGTATCCCATGTTTCCCCGCCGTATCAACCAGGCACCGAGGATTCTTACCCTGACACTCATCATCACCTTCATCTCTGGTGCCAACTTCTTTTCCATCCTCATGTTTTGGCCTACGCAGGCTTTCAACGTGTACGGTCATGACCCTGTGCAAGTCGGAATCCGAGGTATTCCTGTTGGTTTCAGCATTATGGCCGGTGCATGCATTGTCCTCTGGCTCCTGTCTGTTTTCAGAGGTGCAAACAGATCACTCATGGTTATCTCGAGTATCCTGATGACAGCTGGATGTGGCGCCATGTCTGTTGCAAGACCCGACAACATGTCCACCCTATGGGGAATTCTCGTCCTGGCCGGTCTGGGTATCGGAGGAATCGTCGTCCCAGCAAGTATCATCACGACAATCATCTGCCCCGACGATCTCATCGCGACTATCGCAGCGCTTACTCTAAGCATCCGCGTCATTGGCGGCAGCATCGGTTACACCATTTACTATAATGTCCTTGTGGCCAAGTTCACACCTGCTGCTATTCACTACATCGGTGGTGCCATGGTGAAGTATGGCAACATCACCTCAACTGAAGTCATCGGGGAGGTCATCGGGCTGACCAGTATCTCTCTACTGGACGAGATTGCTGAGGTACCAGGTATCAAGGGAAATGAGGCGCTGTATAAGATTGTGATCCAGGCTGGCCAGACTGCTTATGCTGAGGCATACAAGTGGGTGTATTATGTGAGCATTGCCTTTGGTGTGGTTTCTGTGCTTGCTTCTCTTTTCTTGGGAGATATTGGGAAGTATATGGATGATCACGTCGCTGTGGTGATGTAAAGTGTTGCATCTACGGAGGCATGGTACTATAAGCCATGACAACGAGTGTCATAGTTAACATAGTTGATGAAGAATACGACAATAATTCATTTAATTTGAACTCGGACAGAGATCTACATAAACTGCGCAAAACTCATCAAGAATGAGACTATTGATCGTGGCTTATCACATGTGATTTCAGCTCTGACATCCAGCATATTGCTTATAGCTGAAGTAATCCTCGCCACACCATCCGCATGCCTACCTTCCCTCTTTAGCTTCTTACATAGCCTTTTTAGAACATCAGCATGACAGTCAGGTAGTTGAGAGGTAAGCCAGGACAGGGATGTGAGGCTATGCTTCTGTGGCTTGAATATCATACGAGAACGGGCCAGCTGAGGATGCGCGATTTGCAAATCATGCAGTCTTGTTTCATAGATGCCCGGCTTCATCCGAAATATTTGTTGAAATTTTATATAGCTCAACTAATGTGGCTAGACGGAGGGGAGTGTGCATGAGCTATGAAGTGAGTCGAATTTGAGGAAAGATATTGGTCAGTCCATTTCGGCTGATGTTCCAGACTTCCATTAAGAGATCGTGCATACTGAAAATGGTAGCGTAGCGTAGCAGAGACCACAGCGGGAAGGAATTAGGTTTATGCTTAATTATGCAAGCAACTATGCAGGAAGATTGGACTTCCTACTAACATACTTACATACTTACAGAATAGATTCCAGATAGTCTCTTACACGCTACAGCCCTTGAGAAGCTACTAAGTTCTTCAGTTCCTAAGTAATTCTATTCCCCTACTTCTTTAGATACTTAGCCAAAGATTTGTTGATAAACTCCCTCCCCGCCTCATAAAGCTTCATTCTCTGCGTCTCAAACCCATCCTCCTTAAACAAACTCTCCCCCGGCCCAACAGCAAACTGCTCATCACCCGTACCAAGCCCCTCAAACATCCTCTCCGTAAACTCACCAAGCGGCATTCCAATCTCTCCGCCGTTCACCAAATCAGGCTGATGCTTCTCATCATGCAACTCTGTCTGAACAGCTGGCGGAAAAACTTCAACCATGCGGATATGAGAAACTCCACTGGCTTTGAGTTGCTCTCGAACGTTGAGGATGAATGTGTGCAGCGCGGACTTGGATGCATTGTAGTTTGGTGTTCGGATCATGGAGGGGATTAGACCGAGCGTGGCGCTGATGTAGATTAGATGGCCTTGGGGCTGTTTCTTGAGATGAGGGAGGAATGCTGCGGTGAGATGCACGGCAGATGTGTAATTGGTGGTAAGTTCGTTGCCAAGAACAGATAGATCCAGAGTTTCAGGGTTTGTAAAGTCAAATCCTCGTTGAATACCTGAACTGAACACGATAGAGTCCAAATCTGGATCAGACTGGGTGATAGATTCGGCAAAGCTTTTGATTCCTTTCAAGTCCGTGACGTCAAACACAACAGCCCTTGCACTATCCTCTCCATGTTTCTTCACGAACTCTTCAAGCTTATCACTCCGTCTACCGACGACAATCACCTTTGTCCCTGTGGCTATGAGCTTGGCGGCAAGGGCCTCTCCAATACCGGACGAGGCACCGAGCACGAGGGTCTTTTGGTACAAGGGAGCCATGTCAAGATTGAGTTTCGAAGGATCGCGAGATGAAATCGAAGAGAAATGACAGGTGACAAGCTTGCGTATGTCGTATCAACTGCCGTGATTGGTAATGCTAGACGAGGGATAAAGTGGGATAAGAAGCCGAATTGTCGGTAAGTTGAGGCTAGACTGGGTTGTGCAGGATAGGAAGGAGACTATAAGAGAGCTTAATACTCGAGTCTTGGCAGTTGTGATAGAGTTTGGGATAAGATTGTACTGTAAGTGAGGTTGAGTGGATTTATCGTTGTCGTCATGATTCCATTGGGTTCTGTTATCGCGAATCCACTATCGCCAAGTCACCTGACTCGATCAGTACGGAGAAAGGTAGCATCGTTCAAAACTTAAGCTTATTCATGATCCTTTCCCAAACTCCATTATTGAGAGATTTGAGAAGATGAAATTACCATTCTCCACGCCCTCGAGTCATTCTCAAGCCACATGTCGAAGCCGTGTGTCAGATTACAGCCAATGCACTGCCAAGGAGTCCAGAACCTCTGCCCCGTCTGAGCCCCCCAGACCCTTACCCTTACCCCCTGGAACCCCCTGGCGCTTGGCAACGGCTTTCTCTGGAGGTTTTGTTCCAGCCAGTGAAGTCTCGCTCTTCATCTCCATGGAGAATGTCCAGTTTAATGCGCTTACTCCGCGGGGCTTTGCGGGCGTAGATAATAACATGGCACACGTCATTTTATTATCCAGAGTTACGATACTCGGGGTGAAGATCGATAAATAACTGGGTTTACGAGTGCAACGCTATCAAGTACGGCAGTTCTGAGCATTGTTCTGGCCAAAAGCATAATTGATTCATGCAGACTAATGACAAGTTCAGGGTCTCCTCTAACCCCAAATGCGCAGTGCCCCAAGTTTCAACCGGACACTCGGACTTAACTTGACAGGGTATACCCGGCGACGCTTATTTCATTTTCTTCAGCAATACTGATTTCCGCCCAAGCGATGATGAATAAACACACCCGTTTTAGATCCACCGCCCCCGGCTTGGCCGGTAAGAGTAATTGTGGCGTGACTTTGGCGGCAGTCGGCTAGCTACCGTTGCGGTTGATGTAAGCCCCAGCCTGTAGACCCCTGGATCATAACCCTGGGTTTATATTACCTGTCGGGGATTGTAGGGATGAGGATGGAGGAATACTTAAATGGAGAGTGTTTCTCGGTTTCATGCGCTTAAGATCTGTAGAAGCTTGTTTTTTACCTTGTCTTCGAGTTTCATAAGTTTCCCCAGCTTTTGGCATATATAATACCTTTAAATATGACTTCTTGGATATCTTTGTTAGCTGTTCTGGCTGCCTGTGCGCCGCAGGTCCACGCGTCGTGTGCGTATGGAACGCATCTTCATAGGAGAGCTGATGTTATCCATGCTCCCAAGTTTGGATACTCTGCTGCCAATGTACGCCACCCGATCCCCTTGGACTTCTTCTTCAGTCTCTCTTATCCAGTGAGAGCTTTAGAGACCTCGATACAGTACTGACGTTATACAATAGGGTCCAGCAAACTGGTACAACTTAGACCCCAAGGCCAACGAACTATGCGCAACCGGCCACCACCAATCCCCCATCAACCTCGCCGACGGCTCATTCAACATCCTCTCCGCCTCGGACCTAAACATCGAGATCCCCAACTTCACCAAGGGCGCTGAGTTCGAGAACTTGGGAAGCACCGTGGAAGTAGTCACCGAAGGACTCGGTGGTAAAATCACCATCGAAAACACGACATACCACCTAAAGCAATTCCACTTCCATCTGCCTAGCGAGCACATCGACAATGGCACCAGTCTAGCCATGGAGATGCACATGGTGCACTCCAGTGAAGATGGCAAACTCGCTGTCATCGGTGTCTTCATCGATCTCGACGACGGAGCGGTCGATTCGTATAAATTCAGGGAGACGCGCAAGGGCAAGACAGACACCCCTGCTACGAAATCCACTGTCGTTACCACCGTGCTGAACTCGGTGGATAAGATTGCGACCCTGGGACAAACCACTCACATCAAGTCTCTCAAAATGTCCGAGATTGTGTCGCTTCTTAACGAGGGCGATTTCCAATCGTGAGTTATACTAAGCATGCCAAGAATAAAGTGATGCCCGCTGACGGTTTTTGTTGTCTTAGATACTCGGGCTCGCTTACTACACCGCCCTGTAGTGAGAATGTCAAGTGGTTCGTCTCCACTCGGAAGGTTTCTATTCCTACGCGAACTTATTTGAAGGCCCGATCTGTCATCGGCTACAACGCTCGCTTCCCTCAGAATGTGCCAGGGGAGGAGAATATCTTGAGCTTGGTCGCTGACGAGATTGAGCACTACGATGACTAAATTGTGCTATGTAACTTTTACTATGGTGGTTGTTTATTTGGAGTAGAGGAGTCACTTTGATGAAGTTGGCAAAGTAACGTATGGGAGGCAAAGTGAGCGATTATTTAGATGTATCAATATTAGAAGGCGACATAAACGCAGGCATAAGCATAATATTACGATCAATTTCCGATTCCACCACGTTTCTCCGATGCAAAAGTGTTATCGCCGAGCCCTTGGCTTCGGTACTCTATCTCCAATGTAACTTCAAGTCCTCATCGAGAACGAGAACGAGAACGTTGCATCCAAATTGGAAAATGTCGTCGCTTTCGACGTCAGTGCCCCCATATCTTGGCATCCAACGTCTGGAGAACGTGGGGAACCGTCTGATTTTCTGTGTTTACCCCTGGCTAGCTCAAGAGTCGGTGCTGCTGATCTTCTCCCCACCTGTTTGCCTAGGTTCGACGGTGCTAAAGCCACCCGCTGTCAAGTTTGTGTGACTATCATTTCTCTTGGCGATGAGTTTTCGGGATGAGGATGGAGTTATATGGACTTACAGTAGCATTGAGGGATTTGCTTAAGTAAAGGGGATTTTGGGAGCGGTTATTAGAGTTTGGGGTTCTGATGTTGTGGATATTACACCGAAACGCGACAATTTCTCCGTGCTTGGTTGGGGCTGTCGTGGACAAACTCTATTTCTTTGTGCTATCCCCGATGACCGGGATATCCTTGGACATGCAGTAGCTGCTGACAAGAAGGACACCAGAATATCTCAAGATCTATTGGCTCGTCTATCATTCCATGACATCGGTAGTGTAACACATATTCGACAAATATCAATCAAGCATTTATTATCTCGCTGAAACTGTATCTTATACGAAACTCCCCCCAGCAAGCTAAAGTACAAATTACCAAAACTCTTTCTTCTATCATACTAGCCCCTCTATCAAACTGATCTAAGCCGTGCTGGTCATTGGTCGTTGTCTATAAGGATCATGATGAATGTGCAAATCAGCCGGGTACCAACTCAATGCCAGCGCCATAACCATAGCCATGAGGAGAACATCAAAGACATAAATCGGCCACTCATGCGCCTGCAAATATCCATCATCCCCAAGCCCAAACTCAACCAATCGAAAAACATTTCGGAACAGAATCAATATCGCACAGGTATACAGCACACCGAGCATTGAAACCAAGTAGAGTCTCGGATTAATCGCCCCAATAAGTCCTCTTTTCGCAAGTCGTGCATGAAATACTCCCGCACAAATAAGGAAGATGACCAAAATGACAACCTGGAGAGCCAGTCCAGCCAGAATAACATTCTCTCCACTGTTCTGATCAGCGGTGTTATTAGCGTTGACGAGCATTCCTGCGCCGCAAGCCTGAACGACGAAGCATAAGACATCGGCTATTACAAAGAACTTAGAAAGCCATGCTGTTCGAATAATGGAAAGGTCTGGATGCTCAGTGGCGCGGATGATTCGGCCGAGGAACATGTAGATTGCTGCGGAGAAGAAGATGGGCGCCAGGAGAATCAGGAGTGTTTGCGTGCTGTAAGATTCTTGGTCTTGTAGATGGTCGGTCGAGTATATCCTCGCACCAAGGCCCGCAACCTCAACTATGAAATAAGTATTAGAAGGATGGTCCATAGTGTTTGAAGTGAGTTGCGACGTACAGAGTCCTCCAATGACAAGAACCAAACAGAAATATTTTCGATAGCGAAAGACATAGCCTAGGTGAACAAAACTAAAAACTGCAAAGACTACGCAAGCGACAAGCGCCAATATTTTTGAGGGTCGGTAGAACTCGTATACGTTATCAGCTGTGGTTGCCATGGTTGATATGAGCACAAAACCAACGGATGAAAGAGAGACTTGGGCTAAGAGCTTATATCACCACAGAGATCTTGGTGGGAGAGAGAGAGAGAGAGAGAGAGAAACAGAGATTTTGAAGGAATTTCAAGGGAAGTGCGTGGTTTAAGAGTCTTGTAAAGGTCGGGAAGTTCCATACTATGACGGTGCGGTAACTCACGCGCGGTTCTGGAGTGAGACGGGTGATTGGCTTGGACAGCGGGTAAGCCGAGCACGATCAGAATACAGATTGAGGCCAGAGTGATTCTAGAAAAGATAAAAGGTAAATGAATGCTTCGGTTGGAATGGCGACTGAATCCGTCAGTCCCTCCATGACCTATTCTGATATCATACCTTAGAAGTTCAATTTTCCAATCTTATCCCGCTAACTAACATCCTCCCAAGATTCGCTTTGACGCATATACATGCACCATCTCAGGCAAAGAGCAGACTGATACCAATAGAGGGTTGGTAGATTCTGATCGTGATAACTTGCCCAGGGTGCTCTTCCACCTTACTCCGGCGATACGAGTTAATTCAAAGACGAAAAGTGCATTACCTATCGACTCCGCCACAGATGCCAGCGCGAGTCTGAGATGGTAAGCTTACTGCTGTTCAAACTGTATTGTCTCTTAGAAGGCTTCGAGAGTCCAAGGCATACATCGCCGAGGGCAAATCTGGCTTTCATCTGAGCAGTCAGACATTTGACAAGGGGCACTTTAAGGAGCCATGTTCTCATCTCATCCTTACCAGAGTCAGAGTTCTTGTGATATATGAGCTTTGTATCATGCTTCCATTCCTTCATCCTTTCCTCTCCCTCCAGCCCCCGGGCTGGTTGTTTGATAACTTTATCAAGGGCAAGTTACCGTTTGTTTATAGAAATCATCTAGTTATACTCTTCGTGCCCCCTTCATCGTCTAATCCTTGTACTGCCCCATCCCGCTTCTCTTCATGCTCTCTCTTCCGCCGCAACAGCTTCTCCAATTTCGACGCTGTGTTGAAAACTCCCATGGTCGCGGCTCCGCAGTTCTTACATGTCGGATCCTTCCTGTACCTCTTGAGGGCACATGCCTCGCAGAAATAATGGCCACATCGAGTGACGACAGGTTGCTTATAAGGTTTCTCGCAGATAGTGCATGCAAAGGGGATCTTGTCCAGCATTTCTGTATCTGCCTCGTCCTCGACAACATCTGCCTTTTCGCGATTACCACTGATCTTCTTCCGGCTCTTTCCCACGTCTTCCCATTCTTTCTCAAGCTGCCATCCTTGCTTAACGTCTTCTCTTGAATGCAAGTAGATGCACGCGTCCCCGTAGCCACAGAAACCGGTCTTCTTGTAATCTTTGCAGACGTCGGGTTTGAAGTCGAAGGTTGTCGTGATGCGCACATTGGAGGCGGTACGAGCGGGGCCCTTGGTTGTCGGTTGATCATACCAGTCCTTCCGCTTTGTGGCATCGTTTGTGTCTGATAGTGGCACTTCACGATTCGCGCGAAAGGCTGTAGGACCGTGATCTTGATCGGGATTCCGTTGACTCGTCGATGACGCTGAGATTGCGCCCTTCTTGTTGCGCTTAATCCGAGGTCCGTCTACAGCGTCGCGTTCGTCGTCTGAAGAAGAGGAATCGTTAGAGTCGTCATGCGCTGGCAAGGTGCTAGCAGGTCGCTTTCTCACGCTGTCCTTGGCTCGTCGGCTCCTTTGTTTGAAAGCGATGGGGGCGGGCATCACTGTTTCAGTAGTGGGTAGTTCAGCCATGGCTTGGTGTCACGTCGATCAGGAGCTCGAGAGAAGTGGCGGCTTTTGCTGTTGATATCAGGAGTTAATGCGCTGCGTGCCTGATTCAAGTGATCAAGGTTGATAAACTGGCCCAAAGGCGAAAGGCTGCGAGGTTGAACGAAACATGGCGCCAGCTCCATAATTTATGATGAGTCAGCCGTTCTGGGTCTACAGCAGCTAAGTTCCTGTGGCGATAGAAGCTCTCAGCCACAAGTCTCCAGCAGCTTCCATCAAAGGCAGTTTTGTCATACTGACCTCGTTGGTCGATTGTACACATAGCCTTAACAAAGATAAGTCTCCTAATTAAAAATAGAATAATATGCTTTTGTACTGACCTCGTTGGCTCAGCAAACGCCGAAAGCTTAAGGGCAACATCAGAGCATTATCGCAGCTGATCTTGACCATCGCTACCAAGTTCCTTTTTTTTCCGTGATATGTTAATATGTACTTCACAATGATGGGTGCGGCATGTTCGCACAACCACGAGTGCAATTGCAATGAATTAGCCAGCCAAGTCAATCCGAAATCAGCCTTCCCGCGCGTCCCATTCCCCTCAATCGCGACAGAAGTCGCTCGGTCACATCGACATGCTCGGCTTCTGGTGATCCTCACTAATAAACAACATTGTGTGGTGCATGAGATTGATCGCTCAGTCATGCCGATAATGCGTCTCGGATCTACCAACAACTCGCGCGCTTCTCCCCGTCGCGTCCAACACAGCACCGTGATCCTCAGGCGCGACGTTGAATTGAGACGGGTCACGAGGTCAAGACAAGGGCGCATCTGTAAACAACTTATCAAGCATCTGTATTTAAACAAATCTATCAGAATGCTGCCTTTCATTGGGTATCTCCCATCAAGGTCTTAACAATCCCCTCAATCCTGATGGGACGCGTTCAACTCCATTCTCCAACAAAAGAACAATCACAAACAAAAAAGTAATTCCTCGCTCGCCAGTCGAGTTTCTTGTACATGTTTACAACCAACGCCATACTTAAAATCGCTCAATCAAAACACATCCATCCAAACGTTCCGACTGCACTCGCAAGTACCAGGAACGTCAGGATACCCGCTCCCGCTCGATCCGCAGTCGTGATGGGTTCCGGCTCCGGATTATCATGCGAATCCTCACCGGCCTTGGGATCGCCCTTCGAGATACCACCCGTACTATTCGTCGCAGGCGGTTCAGCATCGCCAATCAGTAAACTCGACACCGCAGCTAGCACGTTCATCTGCTCGCCTGCACCACTAGTTTCGTCAACAGCAGGGTCCACGAATTCGCCGCCACTCCAGTAGAAACCGCATTTGCGACCGGAATCTCCGCCGGTGCACTGCTTAACCGCTGCTTCGGTGGATGTCTGCAGCACGGGGAGGATGCGCTCCGCCGTGAAGGGCGCGACTTGTGTTGTCACCGCTAGCCAGCGGTGCACGTAGCCCTTGAAGGATAACATGTCGGTCGAGCAGGCGCCTTTGCGGCCCTCGCAGGGAACTTCGTACATGATGTCCTTGGGGAAGAAAGTCTTGAGCGTGGCGTCGAGGAGCTTGTCGATGCGGTCCTCCCATACAGTGGAACCATTGGTCTGCGATTGTAAGTGAATGTTGTAGTGGAGAGGTGAGTGGACTTACAAAGTTGTACATAAAGGCAGCGCCTTGGATGAGAATGGCGGCGTTGTAGGAAAAGGTGGCCTTGTTGATGTCGGTACAGTTCTTGCCGACGTGTCCGCCATCGTAGACCAGCCACTTTTCGTGGTCGATGTAGTTGACGCCCCAGAGCCACTCCCACGTCTCTTCAGCGTGTTTCGCATACGTTTCATTTCCAGTGTATCGCGCAAGACGAGCCCCGATGTTGAAGAAGCATCCGTTAGCAATTGCTGCAAAGGTTAGCTACACCTCCCCATCGTTCAATCTCGGGACAAACGCACTATTCTTGTAATCGTATCCAGAGTTGGTGAAGGGAATCTGCCATCGCATTCCACCGTTGCACTCGTCGTCGTGTCGCTCGGGCTTGGCCTGTGTCGTCCATACGGCCTGTGCGAGAGCGAGCCATTGGGGTTTGTCCTCGGGTGGGTTGGGGAACTTGTTCTCTGCTGCGAGCATGGCGGACATGCCCCAGAAGCCTTGATCGTCGTTTCCGAGGGATGCACTGTGGTTGCTGGGCATGTAATCGTGGCCGTCGCCTGTTTGGTGAAGCATGCCCTCCATCACTACGTGGTTGTAGCTCTCGTCGCCGGTGAGTTTCCAGTAATCTGGCTCCAGTTAGTCTTCCTTTCATTTTGGTGAGGTGTCAACGCCGACGCACCGATATACGTTCCCATCATCGCTCCACCTTCCCACCAGTAGTAGTCGCCCTTGTATTCTGTGGGAGGACCGGGCAAGATACCGGGAATCATGCCAGTCTGGTTACCGTCATATTGCAACATGAGATCGTACGCAAGTGCCCGTGCCGATTGCTTAATCTCATCTATTTTACGGTCAGTACTCCTCCTCCATCTACAGCAGCTGTCGGCATCGTACCCTTTGTTCCAATCTTGTAGTACTGGGCGTCGACCGATTGAACGAGAAGACATCCCAGAAGCGCAGCATGAGCCACAAACGCTGTCGGTGACGAAAACATGATGTCGCCGTGATCAAATATGAGTCCCTCTGCAAGAAACGGTTGTCGATATGAGGCGATGTCGTGATATGGTGGTCAATCGAGGTAGCTTGTAAGCGAGCGACACAAGCACCAGACCTCAGCGTGTGAACTAAACCCTCCCGCCAAAAGAAGACAGGACCGGGAAATAAAAGTCCAAATGGGATAAAAAACGAGCGTTTTCGATGTCAAAGTTTACAGCAAAAAAAGCGAATGCAAAAGGTAAGAAAGAAAGCCGACAGAAGAGAGATCTGGGTAGATCAAAGGTGGGACGGAAAGCCGGGGATCTATTCTTTACTACGTACATACAAAGCACACACAAAAACAAGGGGGGAAATAAAATGGCACTGGCAAGTTTATTGGTACGAGCCAAGTCTCTGGGCATCGGGGCAGTGCAGGCGCTGCGACGAGAGGTATATTTCCTTGGCGGGTTTTAGGCCTATGGACGAGACAAGAAGGTTGAAGAGCCAAGACGCCAGTGACATGGGGTGTTTTGATCATGGCTTTATTGGCAAATGGTCAAGTCTTGGCGAGGGGGCAGCCACGTAATTGACATTTTGAACCTGATTTACAGTGCATGATGAATTGCACTAAAGGCAAGACGATAATTGTAGGAGAGCTCGTCGGAACAAACATCACGACCCATGGATGAGACAAAGTGAGGTGAAGGTCCGTCCCATCACAATAACGAAGTAAAGCCAAGATCTCCTGTACTAGGGTGAGATTCTGAACGAGCCACGCAAGCAAGCCCTTGCACGATAACAATATACCCTCTCCTCCCCTCTAATCTATGACAGTTACAAAGTACTCTTCTAAAAGATTCCCCCCTTTCACAGAAGAGGGCGCTAAACTTTAATGCGCCCAACTCCACCCAATTGGCCCAGCCCCTGGTATGCTTAAATATTACCTTATTCTTCCTCCGCGACCACTGAAACACGGCGCTGCAAGGAATCAAGTTTTGAGGTGCACGCGGCCATGGGAGATACTGGAATGAGGAGTGAGCTGGTGACACATTCATAGACATGTTCGTTTATTGACTGTAGAAAGAAGAAGAATAAAACTGGTTTACTGCATGGCTGGTGCTAAGGTCTCGTGAGGCTAATGCCCAGATTTGATCAAAGGGGCTTCTTGGCAGACCGTCATTACTTGGCGGAGTAAACAGCATGACATTTCCCCCGAGCGTCCCGGGTCCTCACATACCAAACACACACCAAACTGTCACTCGCGCTCGTATAAAATACCCGTGTGGCTATGTATGTATCCCAGCAACGGGCTCATTATGTATCCGTAACTTTCTTTTTTTTTTGGTAGAGAAGGGGAAAAGTCAATTGGTACGCGCCAAGCTAAGCAAGACATACGCGTGTCGTCGGTCTTGGGTTTTACCACCGTTTCTGAGCTGGCATCATCTTGTTTCAGCTTGGCGAACGCCTCAATTGACTTTATTCCGACGATCTCAATTTGCGTTTTCTGGTGAATATATATTGTACTTCGTATCGACGCGTCTTTTGTCGGTGTGGGTAAGGCCCCTCGGTGTTTATGTTGGCGCCTGTTGCGGGATTAGAATGAGGGCTTGTTCCCCGCCACGGCGTCAACTTCGCGGCGCTTCTTTGACGTATCGCAGCTTGGATGTTGGGTAACTTCACTGTGAAGCCACATTTATCATTGTGGTGAGTTCCAGCGCAGGCTTCTAGAATTGTGTATAAGGCTAGTGATCTGCTCCCGACGGTTGGACGCGTATCAATTGTAGGAACGGCCAGAACGGTCTGCGTGTGCAACATTGATCTAACCTTCTGGCATTGCCGCGTATCACAAAATTGACATCTTCCAGGCGGTTATGCGATTTGAGATGTAACAACGTACTTAAGTTCTGTGGTTTTCCATCGAGGAAGCTACTTAATTTTTAGGCGGTGAACTTCAAGCGCCTTCAATTTCGGGTGTTGCGGCGAATGATCACATCGAACCGCTGGCGTTCACCAACGTCGATAAAGCTGCACAGGTAGGGGAACTTTTTAATAAATGCGGTCCCATAGAGCGCAGGCCTTGATTGGCAATAGATACCTTGATTAACGTTTCTTCATTAAGAGTGCACCATATGCGTCTTCATTCTGTGCGACACTTTCCACTTGCCATTCATCTAAGAGATGTAAATTTAACCCGGATGAGATTAAAAGCCAGAGCCTCCAGACACGACGTAAAAGCATCGCCACTAGTTCAATTAAATAGACGTACCGTATGTGATCAAGACGCTCCTGGTCATTAAACAATCGTTTACCAATGACAACATTCAACGCCGCCGAAAATTGGAAATATGCCATCTGCAGGGTAACCGGGCATTAGACCACTAAGCTCCAGGCGGTGCAAGGCCCCGCGCTCCAAAGTTGACCAAGGACAATTGATAAGATATTAATTGACAACTTATTATAGCATTCGGTGATGTTGCAGGGAATGCATTCGGCGTATGTTTCCATTCTAATTACGCACGCATTGCTGTAACACGGACTGTCCGTTGGGTTAACATTCTGTCTGCACACTCAATAAGTAGCTTTGACACGACAAACATTTCGGCCAACAGGTATTTGTCGGATAGTTTACAGCTCGCTGTTTATATTACCTGTTACAAAATATGCAATGTTATACTGGTTGTTGTTGTTGTTGCGTATGCTCATGTGGCAATGTTGATTTCGTTACGAGGTGCCGAACGGTCCGGCCGAAAGCACAACGGCACTCGGCCGATGAAGCGATGGATGTCACACTTTCACTTCGGGAATAATTGACCAATGAATGCTGAATGCGTGCGTTTATGTATTGTGACCCCAAGCCTTCCGTACCTCAAATATGTACGAGCAATTATCATCCGTCAATCCCTATCCCCAATCCTCCACCATTAATCCAGTGTCGCTTAGTTGGGGAGAGAAGCAGGAGCATAAGACTGATCAGGCTTAACAATCTTAGCACCAGCAAGCTGCTTGTCGGTATAAGCAGGCCAGATGATCTGCCTCTTCGACTTGGACACAACAGACAGCGTAGTGAAGCCATTGTCAGCGCCAAACTGGTCGCTCCAGCCAGAGGTGATGGTGAAGTCGCCGCAGGTGCTGGGACCCGCGCTGCGCTTCTTGCTGGCGCCGGGGCCCTTGACGTCGTAGCGGCACTCGTAGGGCTTGCCGTTGCCCGTGTCGATGCCGAACTTCCAGTTGCAGATGGAGTCGTCGGAGCGGCAGTAGCGCTTGGCGTCGCGGATGGTCCACTGCGCGGTTGAGGCCATCATGCTGACCGAGTCTGCGGCGGGTGCGGCTGTGACGCCGGTGGCGGCGAGGAGGGTGAAGACTGCGGCGGAGAACTTCATTTTGAATGTGTTTGTGGTTTGTTTGTGTTTGTGTGTAGAGGGGATGTGTGTGTGAGTGTGATGATGAGATGAGATGAGAAGGAAGAGAGGTTGAGGGCTGTTTATATAGACATTTCTACACCACTGGTCTAAACTATGACATAGAACCTCCAGCTATTCTAAGCCCAGTCCCACAAAGCTATACTGATCCGTGCTATAGCCAGCTCACGGCGAGCTCCAGCTTCAACTTGCCTTGTAGTAGAGACCTCGTGCGTTGAGCAACACGAGGTGATCGACAGGCCGAAGCTGGATCTCGTATTCCAAACCCGCACCCACCGACATCAGCCGATGAACCGCAGCGGGAGGCGTAGAAACTATGCATAAGCATAAAGCGGCGCAGAAGAAGCATAAAACGGTAGTATTATTCTTTAATTGCTACCTCGTGATTCACTGTATCAGCGCATAATCGAAGCAGAAGCTCTCGTATTGCTTTGCTGTGAAGTCGGGCCCCATCACCAAAATAGCAAACAGAACCTGATCAGATAATTCTTCCGTTGGGTAATGTACAGTATTTCCGATGTTTCCGTCTTGGTTCTACGTCACAAACTGTGGAGATGCTCTTGATCCATCGCTCGATGTAGCATCTCGTATTACTCGGATCTCACGTTACCTTCAGTCATGTTTCCTTACTGTACATGCCCAACATTAGTAATGAATCCTTTCACAGCATCGAGACCGTTTCTTCTACGCCACGATGCGGGAGCAGCCCTTCTGGGCTGACATCAAGGCTTGCTACAGCGGGGTTACCGCATCCGACGCGCTAGAACCGTTCTATATTCTATACTTAGGGGCCTGGTTCACTCCGTCCATCCAACATGTCACCAATTCTCAGTGCATCCATCCATCTTCAATAGGTAAGTACCTATATCCGAATCACTTCTATTCACTTCACATATTCAACGTCATAATCGATCATCTTCTAGAAAATCTCCGCCTAATGTGGAGATTCAGACCGCACCATCATTTCCCCTCTCGTGTAGCTGATTACAGGGTTGATCAATCGCCCCCTCTCGTATCCTCAGACCTGCCCGCTGTTCAAATCTCACTGTACATTCTGATGCGCATTGAGAAGCACTCGTTTCTGCAGGGATTTCCCCATCGTGTCCGAGAGGATACCGCTTTTGGTGGATCTGCATCAGCGCTGACATCAATAGAGCGAATCATCATCGCGAAAGGGACAGCGTGACATATGCTGCACGCAAAACTGTGCAAGGGACTTCATCATGGTCCTGATATTTTCCTCTTTTTTCGCATTTCTACCACTGTACTTTGTCTTTTCATAACTACATGTCCGTCATCAAATCACACAAGACTTCATAAAAAACCCCGCCCTTTTGTTTAGCTTAGCTTAGCTTGCTTAACCCTTCTGGCCACCTGTGGGGACCTTGAACAGGACAGCTCGGCCGTCGGGACCTTGGCCAAGAGCCTTGTCCACACGGTAGTATCCCTTGCGCTCCAGCTGGATAAAGTCGTTCTCCTTGAGGCCGGCGATGCTAGCGTCGACCAGCGCATCGACCTTCCAGGCGGTTGTCTCGGCCAGGTAGTCGTCAAGGTTGTCATCCTTCTCTAGCGTGTCCTTGGTGATGAGGTAGCCAAAGTCCCAGAGCTCGGCCTTGACCAGGTTCTCGGGGTCGGCCGCTAGCCAGTGGACCTTCTTGCTGGTGGTCTTGAAGTCGCCGGCGAGATGCAGCTCGAGGTTGAGGTCCTTGATGGGTGAGGCCGACTTGTCGAGGCCGCGGACAATGGCGTTTCCCCAGCTCATCAGGGTGATCTCCTCGTTGTCGGCGAATTCAGCAACATCGGCTTGGTCGAGGAGAAGCTTGGGTCCGAATGTGACCTGCTTGGTACCAACGTCGGGGTTCTTGACGTGCTTGGGCCTGTCCTCCTTGTATGACTTCTCGGGACCGCCAGTCACGGTGACAGTAACGGCGTCCTTCTCCTCGATGGCCATGTACCGGGGTACAACGGGGTCGAGCATTCGCTTGTTGATAGCCCAGATAGTTGTCCAGTCCATGGTGACGATATTCCGGCTAGGTCCCTGCTTCAGCATGAACTCACGGAGAGCGGGAACGGTCAAACCGCGACGGAGGATACCGCGGACAGTGGGCAAGCGAGGATCATCCCAACCGCTGACACGACCGGTGTCGACAACCTTGGTGAGCTTTCGCTTGGAAAGGAATGTTCGGATAAAGTTGATACGGGCAAACTCCCAGAGGTTGACCTTGCGGAGCTTGAGGTTGTTGATGAACCAGTGGTATTGCTCGTTGCGGTCGGCATACTCGGTCGTTCGGAGCGCGTGGGTGACACCCTCGAGACTGTCGACGACGGGGCAGGCGAAATCGTAGGTAGGGTAGATGTTCCAGTCCCAGCCGGTTCGGTGGTGAGGAGCGGGTTCGGCGCCCTTCCAGTTGGGGAATCGGTAGATAACGGGGTCTCTCATGGAGCCGTTGCTTGAGTCGAAGGCGATGCGAGCGCGGATGCAGTGTTTTCGGCCCAGATCTGTGCCGTTCTTCATCTCTCTAAACATGGCCAAACTCTCTTCAGCAGGACGGTCACGTCGCTTGCTGGCAAGACGGTTCTTGCGGTCATCCTTCTGGACCTCGGGGTCGGTGTCATCGGCGTATGCGTTACCGTCGAGGATCATCTGCTCGGCAATCTCGTAGAGCTCCTTGAAGTAGTCGCTGGTGTGAGTGACGGAGACGTACTTGATGTCCATCAATTCGAGATCGTGGAGGATAGAGTCCTCGAACTCCTGCTTCTCCTTGGAGGGGTTTGTGTCATCGAATCGGACGAGGAGCTTGCCATTGCCATCGGGGGCAGTCTTGGCGAAGTAATCGTTGAGCAGAGCAGCCTTTGCGTGACCAATGTGAAGATAACCACTTGAAAGGTGTCAGTAAAGTCACGCGATACTTGCTCGGTGAAGAACATACCTGGGCTCGGGAGGGAAACGGGTCACGACACCATTCTCGGTGTTCTGGAGGCCAATGTTGTAGTTGGCACCACCGACGCGCTTCTCCTTGCCAGAGTTGAGCTTCTCCTTCAACTCGGGGTGAGCATCCTCGATGAACTTGAACCACCGGGTGATGTTGGCGTAGGCGCCCTTTCGGACAAGGCCAATGGCGACCTTGTTGGTGCGGAGAGCAGTCCAGACCTTCTCGTCGGCCTCACTCAGGGTGTAGCCTCCAAGGTAGGTTCGGAGAGTAAGGTGCTTGTCAAGATCAGCGGCCAAGGGACCGAGAGTCTTGAAGTCGGCTGTGGCGAGCGCTGGAGCCGCGCTCTCAGCGTCGAAGCTCATGATGGCGGGGTTGGAGGAGGGAAGGTTTGTCGGGTAAAGTGTTTGCTGTGGCAATCGTGTGCTGTAGCTTCGTCTCGTTCGTATGCGTCTACAGGTCTCGTTTTCGATCTCGTCTTCGTCTATGCAAGAACGGAGTGGGAAGCGTCTGGTAGAAGTAGGTCTCGTTGCCCCAATTTGAAGCCCGAGATTTTGGAGGGGTCAAAGATTTTGGCGGGGTGATTGTGATGACTCAGGATCTTGGTAAAAGCACGTGACCGAATCGTGTGACAGGACTGTCAACATTCCACGAATGCTACCATTTGACTCTTGACCGAGTATTTATAAGGGATGAATACTTTATGCATTCAATTGTTTGTATATGGTCTAAGGTATTTCTTTATTTCGCCCAGTCGCACCGATCAGGGGCAATTCGCTCACTCCGTTCCCATCGTCTTACTGTCAGCCCACCAATAGCGAAGCCGGAGGAGCTTTGAGCATTGCAAGAACAACATTCTCATCTGTGAGGATCATCTCGAGAATTTTTGCTGATGAGCCACACCGAAAACGGAGAACATCCGTATATCGGTCAATAGTCACCTTATTTTGATGACGATTGCATGAATAAGATCTTGGATATCCCGGCGTGGCAACCCCAGACCAGGCCGGAAACTTACCCGCCGGCTCAGAGCCGGCTTCTAGACCACGACACTCCGGGAATAACTACCGGGTGTACTGGCCTTGTAATGGGAACAACGCGTCACCTCGAGTCTGTAATTATGTTCTGTGTTTTATCTATTGAACTCCCTAATCATGATCTCATAACTCTCTTCAAGAGGCTGGAAGCAAATATTCATCTCGTATCGTCCATGTGAAACCATGGATGAGCTAAGATATGTCTTGCAGACACTCGCTGTGCAGGCTCGTAAACAAAAATCCCGGATATCAAATCAGATAGCAAGTCAGCTTCCTGCGTCGATATTTTCGGCAGTGACTCAATGATCTTGTCAACTTTGTCGGAGTATGCTCCAAGGTAGACATTGTCAATTCTGATCGCGGCCGGTTTCCAAAATTTGTTGCTGTAACATTCCAGATATGGCTTGTTCTCATCCTTCACTCTTTCTGGCGCAGTTGATGCTGACTGAAGCTCCTCAAGATTCTCTGGTTGATCCCAGATATCTCTGATCCATTGCGTGAGCGATCTCGTGTTTTCGAGCACTTCGCCTAGGGGCTCGCCATTGGTCGTGTCCGTCGTTGGGAGGCCATCATCATCGAATAGAGGCTCACCCCATGATGTCGGCATGCAGCCAAGGTACTCGCTGACCCATCCAAGCAAGTTTGCTGGGCTATCGACGTTGGGAATTGAGAAAGGAGAAGAGCCTGACCTGATCTGTAGGATAGAACAGCCCAAAGCCCAAACATCACTCGCCGGGCTGGCAGGTTTTCCAACTGCCACCTCAGGCGCCAGAAAGCCTGGAGGTGTCCCAAGTGTTTTCCTCGGGGAAGACGAGGACAAAAATGCTTGATCACAGTCGATCAAACAGATTTCATCAAGTATGAGATCCTCTGCTAACGTGAAGTCGAGATTGCCAACGATATATCGAGGCGCTTCTGCGCCAGTAGGTTCCCCAGAAATTGTTCTCAAGCTATCACGTTGAGGTTCGCCAAAAAGATCGTATATACCTTGATCATCAAGGTGATCAAGGTTACGGATGCGAAACACGATGTTGCTCGGGGTAAAGTCTATGGAGGATCAGTAAAGTGAAGGTAGGGAGGAAAAGCGCTACTTACCTCCATGACAAAGCCCTTGGGAATGAAGATGTGCGATAGCTTTGGTAGCTTGGGAAGCTACTTTACGTGCCAGCCAGGGGTGAATCCTACTCTGCAGGTATTGGGACATGGTGTTGCAAGAAGGACCACAAGGTGGTAGGACTAGACATAGATGGCGGCCATTGGGTCCTTCGATGTAAAAGAAGCGTTTGTAAGTAACGAATCTCTCATCGTTCATGCTAGAAATGATGTTGTGGCACATTAATGCTTTCTCTTCCATCATAGAGGAGTCCGAAGCTGCCACGATCTTGAGTGCCACCCAGGTTGACTCCCAAGAATCGTAAGCTAGCCATACGACGGAGAAGCCGCCATGACCAAGCTTGTGGACAATTCTGTACCGTCTGCTGTCAAAGTGATCGCCGATGTGAACTGGATGAAAGCCTCCTCTTCGATAAAACTCAGGCTCCTCTGTGTCGATAATCTGGATGGTTTCAAACCGACAGGACTCGTCAGAGGCGACTGATGTATTGCTGGTACTTTTGCCAGTTGAAGGAGACATATTTAAGCGCCCTTCCTCAACTACCAGATTTGGAGAGGATTAGAAAAGATGACGGGGCTGATGTAATAGGTGGACGGTGAAGCCTCGAGGTTGTTGGTTGAGCAATTGAATCAGGCAACAGCTTATCACGTGCGAGATGTCAAGCTTGGGTCGGACAAAGAGCCCGGCTTTGAGAGTCAGATGCTTGTAATCGGGTATGCCATCATGTACTCGTTGTTTCAGTTCCCGATTCGAGTTTACTTTGGCAATACGCATACAAGGACGAGTTTGAGTTATGCCAGTGGCGTGTGAATGGAGATATCATTAGTGGCAATCAGATCAACACGCAGCATCCTGCCGCTACCAATCTAACTGCAACGTTGAGTAGCGCAGCCATCAGTAAAAACTATTGATCAAGGATCAGATGAATTCCTTTTCCAAACCCGCCGAGCTCCAAAAGGCACGGGACCCTTTCGAAGCTTCCTGTTGGCTTCCATATTGAATTGACTTCTATGATAAGTACTTGATAGAAGTTGTAATTAGTGTAACGTAGCCAGCTCTTGATGTCAGTCTGTCTTATCAAGTATGTATAGTAGCGATAGTGCTACTCGCTTGCTGTTGTTTTTGCTTGATTGTCCCACGCGAAATCATTTAACGTCGCGAGATCAAGGACTTGAAAGCCCAAACAAACCCGCGCACGGCTGATGCTTGTACGTAAGAACGTACCTATCTTCGATATCATATTATTGCTATCGTTACCTTGATCATTGCCACTACCTCTAGCACTTCTGTGGCCGTTGTAAAGCTTGCTTTGCTTTCGCAACAACAAATCTCTATCATGCGCAAGTTGGAGCCGCCGCCTTTATTCAGCACTCAGCGGCTGTCAACATCATCAAAATCCACTTGGCTATCTCTTTTATGCTTATGGCTCCTGCTTTGGATACTCGTTGGACTCGTCTGGATATTGCTGATTTCGATTGAACCTCCTTGCAATAACGGCCCTGCTTTGACAAATGTTTCCCGCTCACAATGCTCTCACAGCGGTAGCAATGACATGGAATTCTCGCTTTCATCTATTACCGCCCTCCCTTGGGGGTCTTTTAATTCTATTTATAGCGAACTGGTAGGCACCTTTCTAGGCAGGTTAGTGGACTTGATGGACAACCAATTCACATCCACAGCCATAAAACAGGGAAAAAAGAATATCGTAAGAGGTGATCCGTGCTATTGGCGACCCCTTCCTCAACTTCTACGAATAGTTTCCCCTGGTCATTGACTTCCCAGTTGGACTCGCTCTAGCGAAGTTTATCCTGTTGACCCAAAGCATTACCGGCTTGTTAGTGCAAGACTTGGATGAACTCTTCCACCACTTCCATCAGACAGACGATGTCTGGGATAGCCATTTCCTGTCCTTTTTTGGCCTTGCCCATCGTGACACAGTCAACCCCATTAGACCCCGATTGCCAAAAGGCCTCGCGGATCGATTGCAATCACTTGTTACAAAGAGAGTTACCTTGGCCGATCGATCAAAGCTGGAACTGGTGCCCTGACAGAGGGTCCCTATTTTGCCACTGCCACGGGACTTTTGCCAGTGAGGAAGCTTTTCTCAGATACTCACGCCACTTTTGTTGCGTCGTTCGTTCAGTCACCGTGTCAGACGTGAGTCCCTCGACCAGTGTTGCTCTTCTTGCTATGCTCTGCTTTGGCCTGTCCCTCCCCTCTTTGCTAACAACACATGAAAGCATCGAATATTCAAACGCAACAACAGCCGATACATGTCCAAATCAAGCCATAGCCGTTCCATTCCGTGCCTACTTCACACCGAGCCATGAGAAGCCCTTGAATAGTCTCGGGGTCGGAATCAAGGAGAACATCGATATTGCTGGCGCCACAACATTCGACTCCTCTAGCCTACGGTAAATTCCATGGCATCAGATCCCAGAATACCTTCGCCACCCGGAGATTTCTGGATCTGGGCGCCGTCATCTTGAGAAAGAAAGAAATGGGCCAGTTCACTGATGCTGAAGGTCCTGCCTGTGACTTTGTCCACTTTCATGCTCCCTGGGACCCTCGCCGCTATTGGGTTCCTTGGTGGGAACAGTTATGACTCAGGTGCTGCAGCAGATGCCTACCATTGACTCGACTTTAAAATTGGCACTGAAAGTAAGCCTCTGCAAAAATTTCCACGAAAGCAATCATGCTGACATAGGAGAAGTGGTGGAAGTGTACGACAACCTTCGCTAGCCAGTCGTTCTGCCGCCTCCGACCCTCAAGGAAAGCTTTGAGCGCCAAAGAAACTATTGTTATTCATATTCACTGCGACAAGAGATTGAGCCCGGTTCAACTGACGTACCATGATTGCGTCTGAATTAGTGATCTAGATGCCATTGGTGTTCTCTCAAGGGACCACAACGATCTTCGCACTGTCTCCTACTACCTCTGCCTAGACAACACAGAAGAAGACCTCAGACAAACGCTTGAGCTTAATCTACCTCAGCCATATATTCCCCATCGAGCGCGATATGCCGCCAGAGACCTACGACAAAGACTTCGGACAGTCGACAAAGTTTTGGGCGTAACGTGATGCAATGTGAAATTTCATCAAGAATGGACGGAGTCCCATTCTAACTCCGAAGCCTTTATGGAATACTTCAAGAACTTCTTCTACAATTATATCGTCTGGGGCTAATCAAAAGAGCGATCTACATTCAGAAATGAGTACTAGGCTAAGTTTAGTCGTCCATCTTATGCCAACACTCTGTGCAGATTTCGTTATGAACTTGGCAGCAACATGACCCAACAACACCTTTCAAACCTGCAGTCTAAGCGCCAAAAGTTTCAAGTCTTTATTTAGGCTATTTTAGGCGACATACAATTGTGGTTACGCCGTTCAAGTTTCTTGAGCCTGATCGACGCGACAAATGCAGATCAGAGTGAGTTTTACCCAACTGCCAGATGATGCCGAGGTTCCGCCGCCTCATACCAACATTCTGCGCTCTTCCCAAAAGCCAGAGTGAAGTAATGAGAACGAATCTGGCTGGGGACTTAGGCCGACCTTTCAGACACCCATGACTGGCCAGCCTGAGATTGTTATTCCAGTGAGTCAACTGCCAGCCTTATCATCTGTGATTCAGCGGGAGGAGAGCTATGGAATCATCGCTTCACTAATTGGTCCTCTAGTTAAGCCTGCACTTCTTAACTAGTAGCTGTTCTTGGCAGAGGTTGACTCCGCCAGGAATGAACATGCACACTATTGACGTATTAGAGAAGTTATCAAAGGAACTTGGCGTTTCACAGACTATGCTCACAGTCCGAACGCCATTCCATATTGATTGGGCTGTCAGCGGGACTCAAGATGGAGCTGAAAAGGCGAAGGCTCTAGAGGACGATGTACAGATATCAATATACCGTTATTTCTCGATACTATTTCCACCCGGACCGGTTGTAATTGTCACTAATACTTTCCAACCACCCAATCAAGGGTCTCTGGCGTCGACTCAAATAGGCTTGCTCGAGTTCGAACTGTTGTCATTTTCGCTATCTGCAACATATGCTTGTGCCTACTTATGTGATTATTACGTTATCAATATGTCAGAATCAGCCGAGATCACTAAAGACTTTGAGCCTATAATCTTACTTTCATAACTCCTATCCTCAGACATGTATAATTTTTTTGATGTCTTAGTTAAGGCCGATCTCTTCTATCTGTGCAGCTTTGGAAATATCCCAAGGTAGTATAGGCTCCCATCACCTACCGCAAACCCCGCAATCCCGGCCTAGTTACCTTATCTAACTACTACTCGCCTTTCACATTCTCAAGATCCGTCAACAACTGACCGATGTTTGCGCAATTTGAACTTTACTCAGCGGGCTTGGTCCATGCAGAAGAGCGCGTGAAGCATCGCCGGTCGCCAGGCGGTTGCATTCCATGTAAGGCCACAGTCTCAACACGGTGGCGAAATCACTGACTCTGCTCTCAGGCCGAAATCGACGCAAGAAATGCGACGAACGCCGCCCAACTTGCGATGGCTGTTCGAGCCGTAGAGTGGCTTGTAATTGGCGTAGCAATGATGAACGCCGCAGCCAGAAGCTCCTTTCCCGGGCTGGTGAGCGGAGTCTGAGTCCGCAGGACGCTAATGATGAGACCAGCACACCAGAAGCTCCCAACGACGAATTAATCTTATGAAATGGAAGTCGCCTGTCTTCTCCAATACACATCAACGACACAAGAGCCTTCAGCGAATGCTTCCAAGGCCTGCCTTCATGCTCCATGACAGGACTCCTCGAGGTCCTCGACCAAGCCACGTCGAGACTAGATCAAGGCCGAGAGTTCTCAATGCTAGTTCAGGGCTTTGAAGCCTTGGTTAATTCCCGCAGTATGCTGCATGCCTGGCTCGCGTGCTCGGCTATCATTATTTCGCAGCTTCAACCGAGCTGGCGAATTCATGCTCTCCAACAACACAGCGATGCCTTGAAGCAGCTTCGGTTGAGTACGCGGAGTGAGGAGAGTCTTGCACAAGATTCTAATATCGCGACTGTGCTTTTACTGCATATATTTGAGGTGAACACACCGCTTCCATGGTTCGTTCTCAAACTGATCAATGTATAGAGATTCGAAAACTCCGTCACCGACTCTCTGACATATCTATCGGTTACAGCACCTTTATGCCTGGCACTTGACCAATCGCCTCAAAACACCCATCAAGCTCTGGTATTAGAAACGCTCGTTTATCGTATTGCCATTAGTAGTGTCTTTCGCCCTAGCTGTCTCCGCAATTACCATGATCTCTCCGAGATTATAGCCCTATGGTCAAGATCACCTGTTCTAGAACCAGACGCCAACTTTCGAGGCTTCGTAAAAGCAGGACTATCCGCATGACTGCCCATCGAGCTTTTCGACATATTGTTCAAGGCCTCTCATCTTTTGCATCATCGGCTTAGCGTGGCCCCGAATGATATTGCAAGCCAGACTGCGTGAGCTGAGAAGCAGACTGAACGAGGGCCAAGTCGGATTGGGCCAGATAGCAACTGTCGCCGGTCAGAACTTTTCAAGTGCCACATATGACACTGAGAGTTTCCACGTTGAAAGTGTCTACTCAATGGCCATCGAACTCCTGATCACCAAACTCGAACCCCCATTTCCGGGGGACGGAGAACCTTTAGTCATAAACCTTTGCGAAACAGCACTTCATCATCTGGCCAGGGTGCGATCCGACCTCACAAGCCTACTCTGGGCTATCACTGTTCTTGGCACCTGTATGACGACGACCAAAGTCAAAACCTCATCGTCTTCCACGTTGAGGCCATGAATCACTTTGCCGGTGGTAGGGCGGTGAGATCTGTCGTGGAGTTCCTTTATCATGCATGGGGATCAAAACCTCTGGATTGCCTTCCGCCTGTTGCTGAAGCTTTGACAGAACAAAGCTCTCCAGTGACTGATGGAGAGAGGACTTTTTCGTTGGGGCCTGACATCCTGTTCGAAGAGTCTCTGCTTAAAAAGGTGATTTTATAGGAAAATGGACATTACTAAGTGTGGACGGTGTACTCGTTTTGTGTGTATATCATTATTAGAAAGCGTTGTGAATTGTGACTCTCTGTGCCAGGACGACTGTGTCTGTCTGTCAAGCAACAATGCTAGCTAGATTCACAATCCAGATAGCGGTCCGTAGCTACCTACGTACAGTATCGTATTATTGGTATTTGACAACAGGATTAATTTCATCATACTACTGGGGAACAAGAACTTGCTTGCGGTGACGTTGGTCCAGCTAGCCACTCGCACGCTATCACAAAGTATCTGAGGTTTCCTAGCGACCCCTGCTGTGCATGAAGCTTGCACTTACCACAGGAGTGAACCAAACTAATCCGTATATGCCATTGTATGTTACACATAAATCGCCGCTTATACAACAGACAGCTGAGCGGCCTGGGCCGCAGTAGTTGTACCTCCCATTTTCCCATTACGTGTTTTTGTGTCGAAGACTGAATCAATCTCTTCCAACGTCTTTCCTTTCGTCTCGACCCAAAAGATCAACTGTGGTTATTAGCCAAGCATCTGCGCTATCTCCAAGAGAAACAGACTTACAATTAGCACTACTACCAGAACATCCCATGACTCGTTGATGATATACACCTTCCATCCTATGTTCTTGAAGGCGATGGGCATAATGATAACAAAGACAGCACTGGTGTTTGCGCAAGTTAAAGATAGAACACTTATGAGAGGAGCATTTACACGAACCTCGATGTGTTTAAGGCAAGTTGTGAAGTACCAACAGTGTAAGCCCTTATAGAGAAATTGACGATCTCGGGCGTGTATAAAGTAAATAAAGGTGTCCAGGCCACGGAATAAATGCCTTGGAACAGAAACATAACGGCTACGTTGGCATAGATCAATGCTTTTGAGGCATCTGCTGGATCGTCGACGTAAACCTTGGATAGGATTCCAATGATTATAAGACATATAACAAGGAATGTCTCTGTTACGGCGGCAGTTGACTTGCGGCCCCATTGGGATATTACATGTGTTCCGACTAGGGCGCAAGGGAAACACCATGCATTCAGTGCAATGGTCTATCCAGCTTAGTTCTTGAATAAACCATGAGAGGGACTGTCTTACAGCTTTCAGTTGACTTCTGATGTCTGTGATACCTGCTGTCTTGAGCTCAGTTCCTAGATAGAATGTCGCGATGATGTTTCCGGAAATAGCTGAGAAGGTTCCCACTGATGCGCTGATCAAGAGACGTCTCCTGGGTGCAGCGTCTTTAATCATACCCCAGAATGACATATTTGACTTCGTGGATTGCTCCAATACAGTAGACCCCTGGACGATCTTCTCGTACAGAATGTTTGCCACTGGGTCCTCGATGTCGCCATTGGAGGCTACCAGAGCGACCGAGAATCGCGCTGCCTCATGGTGGCCGTAATGCGTCAACCAGCGGGGAGATTCAGGACTGCCCAGTGAGTTTGAGGTTTACCTCTTGTTGGATGAGGGTGTACCTACACAAAAGGTAGGATCAAGATAGCGAGCACAGAAAAGATAGCTTGGACGATGGACGGAGTCCTCCAGGCCCAGGTTGAGTCCCGGGAACTGGTATACAGCGTCACCACCGCAATGATAAGTGCACCAACACTATAGAGCTTAGAGCTAAGCCCGATGTTGGACGAGAACAGAGGGGCACTTACTAATAAAAGTTATTCAACATGCTCATACCCCATGATCTCCATACACTTGGAAAGGTTTCAGAGAGATACGTTCCACTGGATATGTTTGCAAGTGCAACTCCAAAGCCAATCAGCACTCTAGCAATAATAAACATGGCAAGGTTTTGAGAAACACTTTGAAGAGCCATGCTTGCTATCGCGATAACAGAGCCCCAGAATATGGCTGGGCGTCGACCCATGCGGTCACAGAAGACACCAGAACAGGCTGGTGCTAGACAACCGCCTATGAAGATGGCCGCGGAGCTTACACCCATAGTTGTCTCGTTGAGGTTGAAATATTCTGTATAGGCTGGCAAAATGTTGAGGCCGTTGAGCATGGAACGGCTGGCCCCGTATGACTATATCTCCATCGTCAGTAACACCAAAAGCTGGAGATTGTTTGGCAACGTACAATCGATATAGCCACGGAACACGCCATAAGGAGAGATACTACCATAGGCGAAGAATTTGGAAAGTACGTAGGGAGCCAAGTTCCTGTCTCTGCCTTTCTCAACACCATGGTATGACTGTGTCAAAGAGATATTCTGGAATACTTGGTAAGTATGTCCGACGGTTTTGGTAGCTTGATTACGACACAAACTTGTCTGCTGGTCAAGACATAAGTTGAGAATCAGTTGCATGCACATTGATAAGCGATCGGCCTGTACAGCGAATGCGCGTATTGTAGTCCGCTTAGTTAGCCCCCCGCGCTCTAGTTGACTCAAACTGTTATAAACGCATTTCTGCAACTTTTTAGGATCGTCGTCAACCCAGATGATAGATGATCATGCAGATTGACTGCAAGCAGTATATATTCGCGCGGAACTGAAGGCAAGTATTTAGAAATGTCTATAGTTCCCCATTTTGAGGTGAGGCCAACAACGCTAGCGTTATCATAACCCGATTCGGTTTAGAAAGCAGGTTAGAGAAGGGATTTAGTACCGCTGGTACTCCTGTGAATTTCAGCCAGTGATTACTTTTCAGCACGATCCTCACGATGCAACTTGCAATATCCGAAGCTATGTGCCTTAGGACTCGGGAAGGCAACGTGTTGTCAGACCACATATGTGCGTTATTACAGCGCCGAAGATGCAAAGAAACAGATAGGCTCGTTAGATTTATAGAAGCAAAGAGAATATCGTGATTTCAAGCTACCAATGCCTCCGCACAAACTCTCTAAGTACATTCCCTGTCAGTCACGCAATGTTGTTGTCAAATCGGTTCCATCCAAGCGAGCACAGCCAATTCATACTCCCAACACTAAACACAGCCCCCCCACCACTTGTTTCGTAGTACGTGACATCAGATCTCACCTCCCTAGTCTGTGTGCCAAGTACGTTCTGAAAAGGGATAGTCACGTCCTCAGGGAACACGGCGAAGTCGTCGGAATGCCCTGTGCTTGTTGCCAGAATAACGGTACTGAGAGGACTCCCGATTCCGTAGTCGCATTTATCAATCTCGTCGCCGCTTGCACCACCTCCAAACCCATGTTCTCCAAGAAGCTCGTCTTCTCCTATGCCATCGAACATCCAAGCAAATGTACTCTCTTTGCTGGCATCTGTTCGCTTATATGGCACTCCTGGACCCTGAACTTTGAGATCAGTTACTGTCAGCCGGACATAGAGAAATTCTCAGACTCACTGGACCTGCAGCACAACTTCCAACCCCAAACAAGAAGTTGGAGGGCAGACCGCGGGATCTCCACAAAAGGCCTGACTGACCGTTGCTACTGAAGACAAGATCTCCTCCCTCACAAGTGAATGCTCTGACGCCTTCTCCGCCTCGTCGAATTTCCACTCGATGAGAATTCTCACATGTAGTGGCGATAGACCAGTAGAATCCGTTACCGCCAAGGTACATGACATTACCTCCAGCTCGAATGAAATCTATATAGGCTTTGAAGCTTTCTGCAGTATGATACTCCGGATGGGACCCAGTTATGATAGTGCCATACCGACTTATGATATCATGTCCAAAAGTGTGTATATCATGATCACAGACCACATCATATGCGATACCGCTATTTTCTAGAAACTCGAGCATAAACAAGTCGGCGCTCAGGCCACGAGGTCTGTGTAAGTTCCAGCTTATGTAGTCTGGACGCATATTCATGATAGGCCTCTTGGAAGTCGAGTAGATCACGCCAGAACTGTCGTTGTGGAGATCGTAAGTGGACAACCCCAAGTCGTTTCGACGTACTGTCTTTTCTGCATGCTCATCCGGTATAACCTTGTACCTTGAAGAGACTCTATCTTTGACATGGGCTCTGTCATAAACGTGTTCATTTGCATACGCAAGATACTGTCACGTAGATTAGCTGAAGTTCTCGAAGGCTCCATATTCTTCTTGCTTACCGTAAAGGTGGAAAGAATATACGCAACCTCAGCCCCTGACTGTTGGCTTGTTGTTTTTGTAGGTCGGACAAAGAAAGGAATGGTATCTTTAGCACTACCATTGACTGACTCTACCTCAACAGCGTATACACCAGATCGAAGGGCCTCAGGAAGTGTAACAGAGAAGTTTGTGTCCCAACATGCGTCATCGAGATCATCTTCGTGGAAGTGAATAGCTCCATAACTATGACTTGCCTTAGTCCAGTCAGACTCCATCCCATCCCAGTTATATCCTGTGACTGCCCTTGTCGGACAATGGATCAGTCGCCCATGTGCGTCGTTTCCAGATACGTCGAAGATTTTGTCACCAGCCATCCCATGGTAGAAGTCCCATTCAGCGAGGATCGACTCGCCAGTGCCAGTTGATTTCATGACGGGACTATCTAGACGGCCGTTGAAGTGATTCGCGGGAACAGTGGATGTTTTATCAGGACATAACGCAAAGGTTGCAGCAAATACAAGAGTGCAGGGCATAGAAATATCTATAGCCTGCCCAAGGTTGCTGCTGCTCTTGCATATGGGTTGAGGAATATCCGAAAAGAAAGACTGGGGACAAACTTCATAGCTAAGTTCATCACCCTGTAAGGTAAAGGATAGCTTTACCCATCGCCGTCGCTCTGGCTTAAAGCCTGTTAATACGGCCATGACTGTGTCACCAGTCCCTATCCAGAACTCAAGAAAGCCCTTGGAAGTAAGCATAACAGCGTAGCCATTCCGCATTTGAACATCGAGGGTAGAGAAAATTGCTTGGGGATGCTTTGCCTCTACAAGATGGCACTGAAAATGGATGGTAAATTCTATACCAGTAACAGACTTAACCCCATAGTCTCTTTGTTCGATGATGCCATAAGAGCCTGGATGAGCGACTTAATAGTGAGCTTGACACCTGCCAGAAGAGATGCTCTCCATCACGTCTGGTTGCATCCCAGAAGTATCATTGCCCTGAGGTCCATGAATTATACGGACTACGCGATAATTCAACTCGGGTTCTGTAGAGGATATCTAGATACCATTTTTAGCATACCGCCTATAATTACCCATAGTCCAAGCGTATTGAACTAAAAGAGGATTCTTGGAGAATCCATCTTCAACTTACCTTAACTTCGACCAAATCGCCAGGGCTGGAAATCCAAGGTTCCGCGTACCCGGTAATTTCGGCCGGGTATCCATCGGGAAGTTCAGACGATGTAGTCATTTCTGCTTTAGAAGGAGGTTACAGACGCCTTGAATCGTGCTTAAGCTCTGGCTTTTCGTGTTTACTGCAGACTCTGGTCAATGGGAATGGGATTACAGCATATAACATTCAGCACCTGGGGCCAAGCCACCACGGTCAGCATCCCGCCAGAGTAACGATAGCCGCTGTCAAGTTACTGTGAGCTTCACATGGCTGTTGATGCACCAACAAATTCGTGTTTTGACTCAGACATGTCATACAGCATCCAAGTGGATACCAAAGTTTCTCATGCATGCAGGCAGGCCTCGTCGGACCGGCTGCAACTCTCGGATTACTTGTTGTGCGTGGCCTGATACCTGCATATGCATGTGAAGACCATCGATGTGCCGGCTTACCGGGACGAACGGCTAATTGCGCTTGATTCGGGCCAGGCTGTCGAGGGCGTGCTTGCAGAGATTTACCGGCTGAGAATGGCTGCACTAAACCTGCCTATGCTGAAAAATTGAGGAGTGTTGATGGTATCCGCTCACAAGTTTATAAATTGAAAGTTATACATGAACCAGAAGTATGCTGAGTAGGCTTCCACGTATACCGACATAAAAAAAGAACTGAAACTTGTAAATTGATAAAATACCTACTTTAAACCATGTCAGTCTCACTGTACTTACGTTTAAAGTACATAGTCTAAGGTATAGCTATCTTAAAATATATTAATATATTAGTCTCTATATGGCTGGGACCTTATTAGCTAGTACTATTTTATACTAATTAATTGTATAAGAAGCTTCTTATTGGTAGTATTAAGTAGTTTATCTGTCTATAGATCTTTATTTATATTTATATATTTTCTAATTACTAATTATTTAATCTTTATATTAGTAGGTATATCTTTTAAGGAATTATAAAAGCTAACTATATTAGTATTATAAAGTTAGTAATCTATAAATTAGATATTACTACTTAGTTAAGTAGTGTACTGTAAATAATACTATCAGTCGACCCACCTTTGCTCTCACTTGAACCACCTTGCGATAACGAAATACCAAAGCTTTTCATGTGGCCCTTGAATAGCGAGCACAGAGGATCGTTTACCCAGAGATCAGCATACGCTAAATCCTCCGTGATCTCAACCTCACAGCCCGTAGCCAACCCTCCAGCCTCAAGACATTTCCGCACCCGTTGGCTCAGTTGCTTCAAAGAGTTCATCTTTGGACTTCGCATCGAGAACTTGACCTTTGTATATTCAGGTATCGCATTCGTGATCTTTGGCGCCTGAAGAATGCATCCGTGGATACGCTCATCTGGTTTTATCTGCTGTCGTAGCGTTGAGATGTTGTTGTACGAAGCTACCAATGCGTCGAGAGCGGTGGTTCCAGCCCATTGATTACCGGAAGTCTGAGCGCCGGGGCCGCGAAATTCGGTGATCAAGTCGGCGATTGCGATGCTGCTTTAGCCAGCTGATCCCATTATACTATTGGGACGGAATCGGTCTTCTACGAAAGGGTGGTCGATATTTGTCAGAGGGTTAGGGGAGCAAAAGAAGAACGATGAGGCTAGTCGCAATGTACATCATCAAAGATATACAAGTCTTCTCGTAAGCTGAGGGATTGAGGAGGGGAATCTTCCCTCACCTTTCCTCTTCAGCAGCTGTAATCTTTGGGTTTGAGTAAGTAAATTTAAGCCGCGTTAGAAGTTGTTAGGCATGTGCTTATTTTAAGGCTTTGGAATCTATAGAGTATCTGACATTCTGCCTTGTATTAGCCGGCACAGTTCTAGACGTCAATAGCCGGCGGTATGCCAAATGAGGTGCTTATCCGAGCTCTCTCTACCTGTTGCCTCCGAAAGTAGGCTGAACCCCTTCACCATGACATGGTGTTCACACTGTTTGAAGAGAACTTATTATTATGTATTCTATATCTTCCTAGTGATCGAAGCTTAATATTCATCGTTTCGGTGTGCAGTGCCACAGAAGAGACTCGTGAAGTCGGATCCTGCCTGAGCCAGATGGTGGACGGCATCTTGCACAGAGTCACCTCTGTGGGCTCTAACCTTGACAGTTAAAGTCCAGCACTTTACTGTCAGTAGTTTCATCACCAGAGAACAGACTTTTCTTTTGTAGAATCTGCCAGTATTATGGTCTTGCTTGAAAAGTTTTCTCAACTTATTCAAAGATGTTGTACAAGGGACAGTCTTGAAAGTCTGCCATGGATCTCCACCTGTTCTCGACAGCCTTTGGCTGTGTTTGTTGTTCGAGTGGGAGCCGCGTATTGTGAGACAGGGGTTTCTGATTTCCTTGCTTGCTCTCCAAGAAGCCCCGTGCACCCTTCCAGGTTGTGGTCGCCGAGCATCAGGTATAGTAGAATCTGCTTTGGCTAGAGAAGCCTGTAGGTCTCGGCCTATGCCAGGTCGAGCTTGTAGCCATAGCTTAAAAGATCCTTCATAACCGATACAATAGGGGTACCATATGTTGTATCGCAGCCCGTAGTGCTTCTCGGATCATCCCTCCTTACACCACCTGTCAACAGCAGTATAACGCGACTATGAATGTTGAATATTACGGACCCAGAGTCGCCGTCTTTGGAAAATGCTCTGCCATTAAGTCCTATGGTGCACCATTCCTAAGATGTGAAAAGTACGCCCTCAATAGGCTCGCGGACGACAGATCTGATCCGTTTATGCATCCAATGCTGAATCCGGACTTTCCTCCATGTGTCATCCCAATTAGATCTCGTCATGAATCTTCGGCTTGGGATTTGGCTTCGTAGTCTTCTAGGGACATGATATCTGGTCCAATCGTGACTTCAGAGTTAAGTTAAAAGTCGATAGTGTCACACACACCCTTAGACTCGAGCATCTGCCCAAAACGTCCTGTTGCTGGCAGTTTGTTCCCAAGTTAGGATAGTTCTGTTCTAAGGTATTGAAAATATTTAGTTTAAAATCCTCTATATCTATATTAGACTATACTAAATTTACTTAAATTTACCTAAGGCTTTTGATCACTTAGGATCAAGATCCTAAGTTTTATTCTATTCCCCAGCCAGACTGCGCTTTATTATGTCTTCTGGCAGACTAAATCTGATCCTTGTCTAACTACTAGCCAATTGCTTGGCTTGGCTGGGGTTCCATCTCGAACTCCAATATCTGGCAATTTATCCGTAAGCTGTATTGGCTCTTCCTACAAGCTAAGGCAGCTTCGTTTGGTCTTGTATCAAGAGAAGAGGGCGGCAAAGTGTGCTATAGATTCCAAAAGCTGGTGTCCCCCTTTCAATACTGAATAGACTACTAAATTCTGTCTGCTGATTAAGCTCTCAGCCACGAGCCTCAACTGCAAATAATACATCGTAGCGGTGGCTAAATGGCTGATGTCTGCACCCACAGCCAATGAGATGAAAAGCTTGACAGAGGCGAAGGTATAAATCCGACAAAAGCTACTGCGATCGTTAAATATGGTTTGCTTTCATAGACTAGTTGTTGGTTCCTTTACTTGTAGATCTGGCTAAAACTTTAGGGAAAGACTGGCTTAACTTCCGGGGCAAATCAGCTACTACTTTAGTACTTGGCAGGTCAGTACCTAGGTGCCTACCTTGCTTTTCATAATGCCAAGGTGCTTTGTAAACAATGACTTCATCTTCCACAACAGTGGATAGGAAAGAACTCCCAGCCTTCATAGGCATTAACCTTCCAAGACACTTACATATACTTTCTGGAGACCTTTACTTACTTTCGCCACGCAACACGCATGACATATAAAGTCCCTCCAACATCCAAACACGTGCTCTTTTGCCTCTCCCTCCTTCGCCGACTGCCTCAGTTCCTTAGAAAGAAAACCACAGGAAACAAAAAAGCGAGTTCGACTTCTTCAACATGACGACTGGCAATCCCGCACAACACCGTCAATACGATCATCCTATTCGACTCGGCGTTGATCAAGAAAACACTAGCACGCCCCCACAGCCACCCAGCGAAGGAGAAGAGAGACGGGGCTATTTCCATGGCCTCCCAAGCTCGCCACTCCTGGTTGCACGCTCGAGCACCGCGGCCTGGTCTCGCCACAGTTACTCTGGATTCCCAAGATGAAGGTCTTTACAAGTCGATGAATACTTTTTACAGGGGAGACCTTCAGAAAGCCTCCTTGGAGCAACAGGAACTGAACAGGGCCAAATTTACAAAATTGTAAGGCTACAAACACCTTTTTGAGGATCACCCTGCCGATCAGAAGCTTTTTTTACTTTCAGATGTGTCGAGCTTTCACCTCCATTTAGGGTCTCGCAGGGGAGGCTGATGGACTGGGCGCTTATTAAACTATTCAAAGATAAGTATACAATATCACCTCCGATCTGGGCCGAAACTCAAATCGACATGGCTTCTCTAGGCCTCTCTCGCATTTCCAAACCTTCTTATCTCATCTGGATGATTGAGTAGATCATCCGAGGCCGTTACCGCTTCTAGCCTTGGGTTTTAGTGTGTCGGAAGACTTCTTTCGGCTTGGTTGGACCTCCAGATTTTTCTGCCACCATGAACGGCCGGCATTTTCATCGGCAGGTTGACCATTATCGCTGAACTCCTTACCGACAGTCGAGTTGACAAGTCTATAAAGCCACCTTGTCGTCTTGAACAATGATTTCAGCATCAAACTCATCATCACGCCACTCTAACTACTCATCATGGAGGAGAATCATCCTTCCCACTCTGACTATGAAGTCGTCCCTGGAACAGTGTACCTCGTCACTCAACCATCCCACAACACCCCACTCCATCCGACAGTCTGGGTGATCCACTTCGGTTGTTTGGGTAAGCTACACCATCCCTCCCTCAAACTGACGATATACTTACCTGATGCAGAGCGGTCCCGAGTATGGCGCTTGTGTGTCGTGGATCACCGTCCTGGGGACTACCACGGCTTCCATCTTGGGCTCGTCACCATATAACATGAGCAATGAGGCCTTGGGTTTGATCTGGCTGTCTCCTCTCATTGGAGGTCTCTTTGGGTAAGCTTCCTTCACAATACAGCACCTCCCATATATGCTAACCTCTCATCAGAGCATTGATGGCGGGTCCTTTTAACGATAAGCTTGTCCTGTTCCTCACACACCGGAACCGCGGCTGACTCGAGCCAGAGTTCCGTCTTTGGGTCTTCATCCCCATGGCATTCATAATGTCAGGCGGTCTCCTACTCTACGGCGTCGGTGCAGCTAATTCGATACCTTGGATCGGTCCTGTTGTCGGCATGGGACTCGTTGGTTTTGGGTTGATTGTTGCAGCTGCGCTTACGATGGCCTATGTTGTTGACTGCTACAAGGAGGTTGATGGTGAAGCTATCACGGCTGTTATCTTGATCAGGAACATCATTGGCTGTGCTATGACATTTGGTATTCAACCTTGGATTGACAGCATGGGTGTGCAGGGTACTTTTATCCTAGTCTGTTTCCTGTCATTCGTTATCACTGTATTCGCGGGTTCATTTATCATTTGGGGGAAGAAGTTTCGCCGTCTTACCAAGATGGCATATCTGAGCTTCGTGGGAACTTCTTCTGGGGAAAACTAAATACTGGGACACTTATTGGGTCAACCATGTCTCGAGCGCCCAGGTTTTCTTCATTATATAGTTTTTATCCTAGCCAAGGTACTCTTCCAATACTTAACCAATACTTTACTCCTTTGTCAAGTCCTTCAGAACCTTTCGGCCTCTCACACAGTTCTCCTCGTGACCAGGCTCTCTGCTCGTCTCCTTGATCCCACCCTGAATCCACGCCTGCACAGCCTCGTGCTCAAACAACCGATCAGCATACTCCTTCGCCGCACCATCCAGCTCAATACCAAAGGTCTTGACCCTCGACGCAATAGGAGCATACATAGCATCCACGATCGTAAACTTATCGCCCGCCAACCACGGTCCACCAAACTTGTCCAACCCCTCTTTGAAAAGCTCATTGAAGCGGTTGATATCCTTCTGGAGCGCTTCACTCGGTGTCCCAAGCTCAATCCTCAACCCAACGTTCATAGAACATTCATCGCGAATGGCATCAAAGCCAGAGTGCATTTCCGCAGCGGCACTGCGTGCAAAAGCGCGTGCTGCTGCGTCTTTTGGCCAAGCGGCGGGGTATTGCTCAGCGATGTATTCGCAGATAGCTAGCGAGTCCCAAATAACAATTGATGTTTCGCCATCGTGAAGACAAGGGACCTTTCCGGTTGGTGAAAAAGTGAGGAAGTCGGGTTGACGAAGACCAGGTTTGAAGAGGTTGAGTTTCTCGTCGAAGGGGACATCGAGGGCTTTGAGGAGAACCCAGGGTCGCATTGACCAAGAGGAGTAGCGTTTGTTGCCGATGAAAAGGGAATAAGTCATTTTGATCTAGTTTGTGGATGATTTGACAATACGAATATCGTGAGGTTGGAGATGGCTTTTATGGTGTATGGTGTTGAGAAAAAGCCCCGCTGGTTGGGCGCTCTAGTGACTCATTTGCACGCCCTTCGTGTACTTCGTGCAGGATTTGTAATCACAATTGAGTTACTGGTCTCTATCACGAATGAAGCAGGTGAGTAAGTTATTTAGCATTATGCTATTTATTATATCATTAAAGGATTTATCCTCTATACATTTTATGCCGAGGAAAGATGCCATATTTCTTCCTTATGTACCCAATAAAAATAATGTTCCATCCTTGCAAGGATTCGGATCCTTTTCGTATACAAAATTGACTTAGACGGTATGTTTGGGTGGCGCATAGGCTGGCACAGGTTCTTTTCGTCGTAGCATCGCATCCCAAAGTGCAAGGCCAGTCTCGGCAAGGTGGATGATGAAGAAGGGGATAAGGTTGTACTGCCAGCCTCGCATAAGACGCAGGTGATGTTCAATGTCGTTTCTCTCATTCGAGTTGGTGAGGTCGAGTTTCAAGAATGCAGAAAACCAATTCTGAGGTGTCCACGACTGAAGGGGGTATTTCTCATCATCGTCAAGACCCGCTGCAACACCAGGGTTGATACGTTGTCCGTTATGATTATTCGTAACAACAAAGGTGTAAATAAGAGCCGTGAGGATAAGCAGTAAACTGAGGACGTTGAAGACTAGCCACGTGTTGTAAAAGAATCGACTGAATTTTCCAGGGTTTTGTCTGTTGCGAAGAATCAAAGCGAGGATTCCTCCACAGCCGATGAGGACGAATGCTGTTCCTGCTGCGCCGTTGCTGGTATGTCCCTGATCAACGATCAAGTTTGCAGGCTCGCCTTTGAGATCATGTCTTGTACCGCGGTACTCGAATGAGAAAGTCCCGCTGGCGTTGCCGTGTAGCCAACCGACCATGCTTGAGATGAAGGATAGTTCGATGATGGAAACCACCATGAGAAGCCCGAGGGCGACGTACAGCAACGGTCGTACGAAAGCCATGATTTCTCAGTAAACAAAATTGTCTGGGAGAAAGGAGAAAAGAAACACTGAATACTTTTTTTTTATGGCCTTGGGATTTGGGATATTTAAACTGCCGTGATGCCGAGCTCAGCCCTACTAGTGCTGACATTTTCTCATCCCATCTCCACAGCTCGTTGGAAGCAATCAGCGAAGATGGATGTTTTTACTGGCCAGCCCTGCAGTGGCTTGGCTTACGGGGATAACGTAAATAGCTATAAGCGTGGAGTTGCAGGATGCACTCATCCCATTGGCTTACACCGCCACTGATGCAAAGATGAGGGTTGGTGTTTGTAAATATACTCGTGAGGCTTGGCTGTAGCGCTTCTTTATTTTAGTTAAACTATCGATAGTTTGCTGGATAGTTCCGGCGCTGGTACTTGTCTATCCAATTAGGTTCCTGTTTCGAAACGGTGGGAGATTTTATGGGGTTGTTCCGGCTTACTTGGACTTGTCATGGACCCCAAATTGCGAGAAGTGATTAGGATTGAAAGTGGGCTCGGTGATTGCGAAAGGAAGGGTGGGATTCCGCTTATGTTGACGTGGCCACCACCGGGCTCTTCTAGCAATATTTCCAGTTGATCATTATTTCTGCTTACTGAGACGAGGTCAGCACCCTAGCCCCAGATTGTATTCTCAACCCTCATGATCGCCCAAGCCTGCTTTCAGACAAGGTGTTTGCATCTATTGATAGCAAATACCCGTCAGGTTTGGCGAGTTTTCGGCTTCTCAGCTGGTATCAACACTGTCGGACCAAAATCCTGCTCAAGCCCTGTATCTACGTTAACTCCGTGCCTTGCGCTGTCGACTTCTTCACTCGTGGCGAAGCGATATGATCGGTGTTCTACATCATCAGCCAGGATCTCAGTTTGCACTGGCACTCTTACCACAAACGCTGAATCTGTCACCCTGCACCAGAAACGCAGCAATGCCTCGATGCGTGACGAGCATGATATTCTTATAGCCCCCAGTCCTAGCAACCTCTCTCAACCGCCGCCGAACTCTTTCGGCTCGTACCGTCGCATCATCTGGGGTATGCGGCGGAAAGTCCCACTTCTCAGGACAAGCTGAAAAGTCAAGGTTTGGAAACTTGTCTGCTAATTCTTTCCGTGAGACTCCTTTGTTGCAGGTTGCGTCGTGGGCTTCGCGCAGGTCGGGCCATACTTGGACGGGGGTTTTGGTGCTGTGGAGGAGATACCGGAAGACGATGTACATTGTTTGGATGGTCCGCGTCATGGGTGATACGATTATTAGATCTGGTTGGATGTTCATGGTTTGTTGGACGTTGCGGGCTTGATTGGTGCCTAGGTCTGTTAGGGGAGGGTCCCGGTGGGGATAGCCTCTCTTGACGCTGGGTTGTCAGTGAGGTGAGAGATGGATGGGAAGGAGGGTGAGTTACTTGTGTAGAGATTGACCATGGCGTAAGACGTGAATCGTTGTCATTTTTTGATGATTATTTGATATGCATGCGTTGTTGCTCCTATTGAAGATGGTTGCGATGGTGGGCTGTGAGGTGAGTAAGTGAGACAATGAGGGGTCTTGGAGTTTCACAAAAACGTGCAGCCTCCCAGTCGCCATGAATGCGATCTTACGACTGTAGGGTAAGGCACTGCTTCACATGATGGTTTGTAACTTGCATCGATCCTGTGATTGACTGGCTTGCTCTCAAAATCTACGAAAACAGTAAAGAGCTTGATACCAAACAGTCTGCTTAGCGTATCATTGTATGACACACTCGCCCGAGTATCCCTCGCTGTCTACCTAGACTGACACAGACAGGATGTCGTTACGCGCGCAGGTAGCCGTCGGCCAACTGTAACAACGTCCCCAATTTCGCTGCAACACGTTTGAGAACTATAGCCCGCCAAACAAACAATCATCCTCAATCGGCCCTTATTCCTCTCAATTAAAATCACGAACCCGATCCTCTATGCGCGTCTTGCCAAGAATGGTGGTTTATTCCGGTCTTCGCTGGAGCTGGTTTAGCGGATCTTCATTCTGAACCCTTACCTCACCTCACCTCACCTTACCCATGCGCGCGCAAGGCCCTGGATCTTTTATTTTCCTTCCATTCCAAAAGCAATTCCCGCCCAATCCACATTCGGCACCAGGGGTTCAACTTCCAGCGATACACCCTCTCACCACCATTTTTTGCTTGACAGGAACTGATGAGCACGACGATCCGATATTGAGATTCACGACAGAGATAATCGAACAATCGAAGCGAAAGAAGCGCTGCTGAGCGCCTGTAGGCGTATCGTTCAAGCGAAACGAACGAAACACCTAATCTCTCAAACGTCCCCCCCGCGTGGATTCACTGCGACACTGCAATCCGCGTGCGGCTCTGGGCGAAAAACGCCAGCTGTTGGCTCCTTCGACTGCCGATCACCACACACCCCTCGCCCTCCTTTAACGCACGGCTAGAGAACAACTACAAGCGCACGCAACCGTACCTTACCTTACCCCCCCCCAGGGCCAGATCCTCACAAAAACATGCCTCCCAAAACACCAAACAACACGGGCACGCCCATCTTCTCAACATCCATCTTCTCCTCCAACGCCGCTTCTCGTCCTACCACGCGCGACGGCCACGCCGTTGATCCTCTAAACACAACCATCGTCCCCAAAGACCGCAAAGCGTCGTTCTCGCGAAAGGCGTCGCTGTCGAGCAGACGTGGGAGTTCGTTTGGCAACGGGCCTAACGCTTTTGTCACGGATGCTACGGCGCCTCCTGCGCTGCCGGATTACGCTCTCTCTGCTGCTGCGAAGGTAGCGCCGAGACCAGACGGTGTGGAAAGTGCGGCGGCCGCGCCGGTGGATGTGCAGATGTTGAGTCGGAGTGCGACGGGGTCGACAACCCTTTATGGGGGGATTGTGCCCAATACGCCGATTGGGATAATGCCGAATGGAGCGGTCGGGACGTCGGGAATGTGGCAGCAGAATGAGGCTGGTATTATGCATCACCATGTTACAGAGCTTGCGAATAAGCGCATCGCGACGTTGGAGTATCTGCGGAAAGCGTATGTTGGATCTTGAGCAGAGCGGTTTGGGTGGGAAGCTAACGATGGAATAGACATGAGGGACGGATTTATTGGTTCAAGACATATCTCTTTGAGAAGACGGACCTCACTCGCATGCCCTCTCTCGACGCTCGAAAGCTCGGTCGCAAAGCAACGAACCATCTCCTCCTTGGCCTCTCCCTCCCGACAATCATCGACCTGTACTCCTCCACATCGATCGAATTCCTCCGAAGTCTCAACTCCCTCCTCTCCGAATTCGACTCCTTCCAACAACTCCACGGCGAATCATCAACCGCTGCATCGCTCACCCGCGCGCGTCTGCCAAGCATGTTCCGTCGTCCAGGCGGTAAATCTCGTCGCTCAACATCAGCAGCTGACATGTACCCCATGGTCGACGAAATGGCTTCTCTCCCTGCAGCCGGTGGCCCTGCACCATCAGTCATGAACTTTGCAGCTGCTGAAACAGATCTCCTCCCCGGAGAAGAGTATACCTTTCTACTCACGCCTTCGTTACCATTTGATCCCGATTACTTCGAGACGTTTGCGACGCTGTGCGATGTGTTGATCGATTGCTACACGAGGTTTCTGGCGTTGGTCCCTTCACCTAGAGAGTGTTCTGCACCTGTCGCCGAACTCTTCACGAAAGCGGATTCGCGCGTGCGAAAGATAATCGTGCAAGGCATAGTACGGGATTTCGAGGAGCAGAGTCGAAGTCATGTTAAGACGGAGGTGGCTAGTATCGGAAAGGTTGTCCTGGGAGGATTAATGTGAAATGGACTTTGATGCATGGCGTTATCTTGGAGTGCGGTATCCTCATCGGATGCATGCTGGAGTTTGGTTGGTTTTTGATACGTATAATGGCACGAAGATATGAAGCGTCGGATCGCATCTATTCAACAGTTTTGGGTCGCTTACGGCGGGTTCTGTACATGATAATACAGTGTCTATGCTACAGTGTTGTACATGTCTATTTCTTGCCATTGATCTTCTCTTTGGCTTCTTCTTCGGCCATGAGAAGTTCAATGTCCTTGTTCACAAGCCAGTCTCTTGCGCCGTCCATGATTCGATCTAGCTTTTCACCGCCCTCGAGAACATTCGGTAGATCGTGCACGTCAACACCTGCACGATGATCGGTACATCGGTCTTGGTTGTAGTTGTATGTTCGGATTTTATCACCTCGTGTGATCTGCGTTTTTGACAGAACGCTGTTTCTCAGATTTGACGCTTCTTCTTCGCGAGCTTCTCGTCGCTGATCAGCAATTCGCGAACGAAGAAGTTTCCACGCCTCTTCACGATTACGCTGCTGCGACCGATGATCCTGCATCGACACAGTAGTACCAGTAGGTAAATGCGTCATCCGAATAGCAGACTCGGTCTTGTTGACGTGCTGTCCTCCCGCACCTCTCGCCCGCATCGTTTCAATCTTGACCTCTTGCGGGTTTACGTAGAAATCGCTCTCTGGATCGTCAAAGTCGATATTCGCAGCGCCGTTCTCGGGGAACGAGGGGAGGACCCAAACTGCGACGGCGCTGGTGTGCACGCGGCCTTTGGTCTCGGTGCTGGGAATGCGTTGGACGCGGTGCATGCCTGCTTCGCTGCGGAAGATGTCGAAGGCGCCTTGGTCGTGGACTTCGAGAATGGCTTCTTGGAGGGGGTTCTCGCCGGCGGATGAGGAGGAGTCTCCTGCGGTATCCGCGAATTCGTACTTTACTACTGTGTGGCGGTAACCGCGGCGCATGCACAGCGCTTTGTACATCTTGAACAATGTATCCATGAAATACCGTCCTTCAAGACCACCTGGCCCAGGGCGGAATTCCAGCATGCATGGGAAATCGGCGAAGGGGTGGCGGGGCGTTAAGCTTGCTGAGAGTCTGCGGGCGAGGGATTCGAGTTTTCCTGTTTCGGAGGAGAGTTCATCGCGGGCAATGGCAGCGAGATCGGCGTCTTGGTCGGGGTCGTCGAGCATGGAGGTTAATTCGGCGACGGAGGCTTGAGAGGTCTGCCATGCTTTCAGCGCTTCAGCTACACGAGATAATTCGCCGACGCGTTTGGCTATGGTAGAATCGAAGGAGTTGTTGAGGGCTTTCTGGAGGTCGTCGTGTTCGGTTGTGAGGGATTGAGCACGTTGGAGGAGGGCGGGTGCGAGCAGTGGTGAAGCATCTGTGATGGTTAGTGGGGGAAGACGGAGATTGGGAGGGGATGCGTACCATTGGTTGCGAAGCGCACGAATTGGCGCATGTGAGAGCGTGTCAATGCTCTTGTGCAGGTTCGGCATATCCATGGCGTTGCGGACATGCTGAGGAGGAGTGGTGATGTTGGTTTGAGGAATTTGGTGGTGGTGAAATTTTAGAGGCATTCATTGGATGCCAGGATCCAACTTAGCGGGCATACAATTGTGCGGAGTACAATACAACAACACCTCATGAATATGGTTCAATTTTGTGTGAATAATACATAATAAATTCCATGGTATTATACACGATAGTTTTCCTCTGATCTCAGCTCTTTTCGCCTGCGTCGCCAACGCTACATATAATTGCTTCACTATGCCATATCGATAACTTCATGTTTTCCCTCACTGGCACTGGTGGTCACAAGCTCGAGTATATATTCGTCAGGCGTAAGAAGCGCATGGACGACGGCCAAGTTTTATAACAGAAGTCGGCGGCTCGTATGCGTAACCGCAACTGGCTTGGAGTGGCTTTGACGAAAATCGAAAAATTCCTGTTTGAAGTACAAAACCATGAATACTCACAGTGGCATTTGAACGCGTGCGACACATGGATGGCAACACACGACCCAGCAAACACATTGTCGTCAATCTAGACTATAACTGAACTGGATAGAGCAACAAGCAAACTTCCGACATGTCTCATACCTTGCACAAATGCTCAGACTTTATGGAGCAACGGCTCTGTCGACATCATAATACCATCGGCCATTGTGAATGGATACTTGCGCACTTCTAGGACATCACCCTTTGCCTCAGCCTTATTGACATCTTGGCTACAGTACTTCATGTCGCCTTCCACAATATAAGGCTGCAACCATGACCATTTCCCGTACGGCACGACCGGGACATGTACCGCATCACCAGCAGCTGACGGCGGTGGAGTCTCTTCTGCTCCCGTCGGGCTCAGTGATTTGAGAGGGTCTTCTCGGAATAGGAACGGGCCCGCGCGGTAGCACAGCCTGATCTTCCGCAGCGCTTGTTGCACGGCCCAGTCTGGGAGTGCTAGGCTTGATGGTGGGAGGACGCCCGTCTGGGCTTTTACGGGGTGGAAAACGTCGACAAGGAGACAGAAGGGAAGGATTTGCTCTTGTCGTCTTTTGATCATGTCATCAACTTCCAGGAGATGGCGACCTTCGAACAAATCGACATGGCGGGCTTTCAGGGTGGGCAAAGTAGATGGATGTATTGGGTGGCATACGAAATCCTCGTTCAGATCGGTTTCAGGTACGCCGCTGGTCCAGAACGTAAAGATCTTGCTGAAGTCTGGCTGCGTTGGGGCATCTGACCGCAAAGGCATATACGCGGCCAGACCGTCGTCGGAGTATTCTTTCAGTCCAAGATGGAGAGGCAGGTCGTAGTCAGAAAGCTTTTGGTAGGATTTCCCAGTGAGGTTCTGTAGGCTCGTCTGGGGCTGCAGTTCCTCGTGATTCAGCTCAATCGACCATCCAGCGATGGCCAACGCAAAAGGACGACCAAAGGCGGCGTTCATGATGCTGGAATACGATTCTGCAGGAGGCGCCATGCAGCTGGAAGCGTCGCCCAGGATCTCGATCATTCGCAGAGCATAGTGTTCCGTCTTCAAACTTTGGATGAAGTCATCTAAGATATTCGTCTTCCACTGCTCGTTAGCACCCGTCAGAGGAGGCTCGAAAAGGCCATCGCTCATGGGAGGTTGATATACGTGAGCGGCTTTTGCGGTGGTGTTGCTCTCCGAAATCAGTATCTCTGCACGCAAGTCCCCAGCAGATGTGAACACCTGCAACGAAAGATCGGCGCTGTTATACATGATTTACCCACAAACCGGATCTTCCCACTCGCCGCAAGGCCTCCAGGTGCTTTGGCCTGTTGCCCCCGGCTTCCGGTACGCGTTGAACAGTCTTGCCGGCTGATTGATAGATGGCGGGATCTGGAAGTATTCACAATTGTCTCCGGTGGAAGCCACGACATTGGGCGTCTCTTTGCCGTCGACCACGCGAGGTGACGGCTGGTACACCGATGAGATAGATGGCATGAGGCCGTCTCCGTCAACAACTTCCACTCCTCGGCCAAACTAGTCAATGACATTGAACTTCTTGAACTTCACTTGTCCATGAGTTACGGGAATGAACACTGCCTCTGGATCAACGCCGTCTCCGTATGGCAGTGGATCACAGTGATTGCGAATCATTCCCAGGGTGTCGGCAGTGAAGCCAGCAGCTTTGCCCACAGCCACCGCCTCAGGCATCGTAGTCCCGTCCGGAAGCGTTGGGCGCACATGAGCTGTCCCGCTAATCAGAGTGACAAGTTGGTCTTGAAACCCATCGAGACGACAGGCGAGGGAAGGGATGGCTTCCATCTTAGCATATAGTTGATCTCTTTTGTCGACCGCAAGGACGCCCTCCAACATGCTCTCTGGCAATCTCCCAACCGAATTTCGCAATATGTTTGCTACTGACCCGCCCGGGCTCGGATGTAATAGAGCTCTCCCGCCCATTGCACGACGCGGGTAATGAGACTTGTTGCTGGAGACGTCCTTTGTTGGTGTCAAGGACTGTGTCAGCTCTGGGTACACTTGAGCAGCAGTACGTCGGGTGTGCTGAGGCTCCCAGAGGTTATACGGGATGTGGAAGTACTCTGCCTCCCATTCAACATAGAGTGGGACGAGGGGGCTGTCCAAGACAGCCTCGGTGTTGAAGACAGCGTTGCAGTATGGCGGAATGACCTCGTTGGCTTTGAGCTCCAGCAGTGAATCGCCTACACTGGTACACATATAGCCGACGTGTTCTCCATGAACAAGTGCAGCGGCAGTGGGAATCGAAACTATATTATCGGTCATGTCCATTGCAGCCTGATATGCATCATCTCCGAACCTTTGAGCTTCAAAGGCCTTGATGCACTGAGATAACAATCTCACAGGCTGACAGTCAGAGAATCCGTCGGGCCACGGGGACTTGCAGCCGAGGAGTGCCACGGTCGGGTCTTTTCGCTGGATAAAGGAATCGGAGGGAACCTTTGTCAACTCGAAGTTGGACACCTTCCTTGTCTTGTCCAGAGAGAAATTGCTTATAAGATTCTCCAGGTGACTTTTGGTGTTGGTGAGCTTGTCATCGAGACTCTTGATTTCAGTCACCAAGGCAGAGTGATTGGAGGAGACCTCGTCTGTCCCTGACACTGCATCGTTTGTAACACAGCGCCACCATTCGCAGAAGAGCTTCCAGCGCCGATAATCAATATTGAACCGTATGTGATCACAAGCCCATTGAACAGCATTTATTTGCTGCAATGCTGTCTTGTCATCGTCAGTCAATTGCGGCGTGGAAGAGCCTCTCTGGTCGGCTCGATTGACTTTGCCGTCTTGCTTATCACCGGACGGCGCCACTTTCCACTGACTTCCGCCCTCGACTTGCTTAAATTCCCGGAGGACTCCCAAGAATTCCTCGGCTTCAGTCTGCTTATCTATATCTGCATGGTGCGTACCCGACACCGCGATGTTTTGCAGTTTCTGGAGATCCTGATGCGACTGGCCTGCATTGCCAGCCTGCATCAAAGCACCAAGAGCGTCAAATGGGTCGGCACCGACAGCCAAGCTGCCATCCGATTTCATGATAACTGCCCCGGCTTCTGCAGAGAGGGAGGGATCCCGCACATCGATGGATTTGGCATCAGGGTCCCATTTCAGCAAAGTGTACGTGCTTCCATGACAGATATGCCGAGCAGGACTCTGAGATGTTGTCCATCTTGTCACATCAGCTTGGTCCATCTTGGTCTTGTCCAGCACCATGTTCAGTTGCTCGAGAAGCTGCCCATTGGTCATGTTAGGCGGCTTACCCATCCATGGGTCTTCGTTTATGTCTGCGTGCCATCCGATCACCGAGTAGCCAATCTCCGCACCGGCGGGTATATTGTCCAATGGATCGTGGAAACTGAACACATTGGGGTTATGAGGCTGGTAGTCTGCGAACAAGATATTGCCTGCACTGTTGGCCTTGAGTGGTTTGACGCGAACGATGGTGGAAGAATCGCTCCTTTCGGCCCAGCCTTCTAAGTTCCTCTTCTCCCCTAAGAAATACTCTCCTTGAAGGTCAATAATACGCTCGTCTGTCAATTTCTCAGGCGCACGGATATACTGAGATACGTCGGTCATCAGGTCGACAGAGGGGTCCATGTCGTCGATATGCCGGCAGACGTCGCTTTCAATGACCCAACCAGCATTAGTGGCTGCGTTGCGAGTCACTCGCGCAACCATCCAGCGGTTTGGCGGAGTAGCAACTGCCGAAAACTCATCTTGCTTTTCCGACGCTGATTCCCATCGATACATCTGCGGCAATGTCCACGATATACTTATGCCGGAAACGTGAGGGCGTGGTTGCGAAGTGGTAAGATCATAGAGCCGTGGATTGGCTGTTGTTACTCTGGCGCTGTCAAAGTCTGCATGGTCCTGCAGGTCTGCCTGGACTGTCTGCTTTCGTAATCGAAGTTTAGAATAATCGAACAAGTTCGTCGGTAGCAGAGTTACATTGGGGCATTGCTCTGAATATGCCTCCTGGTTTCCCAATCCCAAGAGATCTATCTTCATGGGGATCAGGAGTGTTGCATCACGAGGGGCACCAGTTGCGGATCCATCAGGACTCCATTGACATTGAGATCGATGTTCTTCGAGATGACGATTATCCGGCAATAACACTGCGTTGCGGGCCAAACCTCTTGACTATTGACAAATTGTTTACTATACTAGGAGGCATCATTGGACTTCCTGAGACTGCAGATATCCGTGCGAATATACCTGGCGATTTCTTCTCCGACATCGCCTTTCGACGGGCCGTGTTGCCATACGACGGGAATGCGACGTCCTTCACGCCCAAGAGCCTGGCGCTGGATTTCGAGGCCAGCTTTCATGCTAAAGGCGACAACGACTCCCTTGTGTCCGCAAACATATGTATAGCATACCAGCCTGGACCTCCAAGTCAGTTGCACTTTCGTGCTAGTCTGTGGACGCCGAACCTCAGCCCTCTCGTGGAAGGGCTGCCGTATCAGCTTCTTCCTGCCTATGAGCTTTGCGATGACTATGGACCGCAACCCAAGGCTGCTTCGTCGATCTCCCTCCCCAAGCTCATACCAGGGTTCGAAGTAGCACAACCTCCAGCTGGCATCCCAACAGATGTGACCGCCCTTGGGTTCGCATATGAAGACAAGACTGTTTCTATCTGGGGAACGCTGGAGAACTGTACTCTTCCAGGTGATTGGCTACCTACCATCTCACTGGGCCAAGTGTCAATCAACGGCACGTGTGGTCCTCGAGGTAAGACTCTGAGTCTGCAACTAGCGGTTCAGATCTCTCCCCCGGACAATCTCATAGACTTGGACTCCACACTAGGACCGAGTCTTCTGACAGGGATCTTCTCTTACGATTCTGCCAATGGCTGGGATATAGAAGCCGACGTGGCGGATCTCAGTCTCGCTCATATCTGGCAGTTCTTCGACTCATCGCAGCAAACGGCTCTGGTCAAGGTAATGGGTTCCATCATGGTGCGCAATTTGTCAATCAGGTACAAGATGCAAAAGAGTGCCTCGGTTACCATCGCGCAGAAAGCCACAGAGCTTCAAATCAAGGGAGATGTCGAGATTGGTCTGGGAGGAGATGGAAACCGGCCTCCTCACTTACTGTTCGAGTACGATTACCCTTTGGACGGCCAGTGGAAGATGAAACTCAGTTTCGAGGAGACTGTTAGCCGAGACATCACCATCAAAAGCCTTCTGGGTACTCTGAGTCCTGATGATGGGCTATTGAAGAGCATAATTGAACATGTCGGCAGTCTTATTCTCGTAAGAAAGGGCACTTCATCCGGACTAACCATTCAAGTCAGTCCAGAAGCGCAAGGTAGCAAAAAGAACATGAATCTCCGGGCCAAATTGCAGATCGACCGATTCGTTTTCACATACTGCCAATATACTTCTACAGAAGAAAATGGTGTATTGAAGCGCTTCTTGTTGATCTCGCTCAACCAATTCGAGATACCCATGCCTAACATACCCGTACTTAAGCAGTTTAAGAGCCCTTTCGACAGTCTGTACATTCTGTGGACAGATATTATCCTCGGGAGATCCCACAGATTGGCATCTCGTGGCAAGTTTCGGATCAAATATTCGCCAAGGCTAGTGCCTATTTTGCCATCACGCCAAAGACGTGCATGGGAGGGGCTTCAATGATCGCAACATGTGATGCCTGTGGCCTTCACGCATCGTTCTCGGCCATGATCGACTTTCTCATGAACTTCGACCCTTTCCATTATGTCTTGGAGGTTTCGATCGACATCAGCGTCTCGTGGAGTGAATATGTACTGTTCGTCTGGGTGAGTTTCGGATTCGATATTACGGCCAGCTTGTACATGTGCGGGCCTCCAGTGTACGGTACCTTTACCATCAAGGTCCCCATCAAGAACGTGACTGTGACGTTCGGGGACAGTAATGGGCAGAATACCCCTGCCAAGGTCAGTCTTGATACATTCCGCGGTATGCTTCAGCAAAATGGACAAGGCGCAAAGGAGGAGGTGAAGATATCGTGCGGATCAGGGCTATGCTCAAAGGACGACATAACAGGTTACTGGACTGTGAGAGCCGGGACCTTTACATTTGACGTGCGATCAAATATGGCAACCACACAGGCTTACTTGAATGGCACAGCTGTCGGAGCTGCTAACAAAGTCTATGCAAAACCAATGCAATTGACAGAGAGTAGCAATGGACTGAAGGCAGATCTCACGATCACGGTCACGGGCATGAGCAGTGATGATCAATATCGATCAGATGTAATATCCGGAAACCTTCCTGCAGCATTGTGGTCACCATGTAAGTCAGTAAAACACACTTGTCGAGTATTTGCTAATCAATCTTGCTGGACAACAGATGATTCGACCAAGGATCCCAGTGTTTCCAATGCCGATAGGTCCGCTCTCCTCGACGGCTCAGCATCGACAATCTCGTCTACATATGGTTTGAGCGTCCGTACACCAAGACCTCATCTCTCCAAAGATGAGATAAAGCCTTTCAAAATAAGCAACGTGATCTTTCCCATCATACTCGATACCGGAGCCACATCTGCGCCAGTTCCATCCTGTCCAGTTCAAGATGAGTCATGGGAAGGGAAGGAAGCGGCAGGAAAAACGATTGCACAAAAGAGGGAGACCGCCCAAAGCATTTGGAAAGATGCAAATACGAGGCGCGAAGGATTTGCGACTGCCTGGGTTGAAGCCATGGATTGGACAAAGTTCACGGCGGTAACGCAGACTCCGGACCGATTAATTAATGGGTTTGATAAGTTGGTACGAGGAACACCGCTTGTTAGTTGCGGGTAGACAACGGGTTGGTGGATTGGACGTTGATGGTAGTACATGAGATGACTAGAACGAACTGTGCTTTCGAGAGATCTGCCTTGGCCTCATAGGATGATAAATGTTGAGCGTCATCATTCGAAAATACCACGAACACGCACATAAAGGGCATGGCCATTGTCTTATCTGATCATTTAGCAGCTGTCAGCTGTCTGGCGGAGCTGTTATGCTGCGCAGAGTATACCAGCTGACATCGTTAAGCGGACGCAACTACTGCATATAGCTACGAGTGACGATGACAGGACAAGAGAAAAGAGAGACAGATTCAATTAGAAGTGGGAGCCAACTACTGGCCTCTCTCTTCCTGGGTTCGGAGATGATTCACCGCGTGAGGTGCCTCAGCTCTTTTCGCAGCATACAGCAATCCCATTCCCAGAATCATACTTGACCCTCCCCAAATCTGCGCCGCCAGATAGCTCCCGCCCGTAGCTTGCATCAACTTCCCAGCCAAAGGCGACCCTGTCAGCGCGGCAAAACTAATAATCGAGAAGATCATTCCAATTCTCGTTCCAGCTTTACTCAAATCTGGTGTCAGGCTCGCACAGCATGAAGGGAAGAGACTTTGTATCGCGGCACCGAAGTAGCCAAATATGCTGACCCAGATAAACATTCCTGTGAGTGAGGATACTTGTGACCAGAGATAGAGACATAGTGAGGCGGCGAAGATTGTGGGTATGAAGACGGGGATCGCGCCGAAGAGACGGTCGGCGAGAAAGGCGGATATCATGCGGCCTGGGATACCGACGGCGTTGATGACGATGAGGATTAGGAATGAGTCTGAGGCTGAGCCGGAGAGCTTGTCTGTTGTATATTGACGAGCCTGGAATCATCAGTACCTGTCACAGAGGTCAATTGAGAGAATGCTTACATAGTTGTAGGAGATCCAGGTCGGCCACAAGGTGAAGAACATTGCCGCCGCAAAGAGGACATACGCAGGCTCCTTGAACGCAGCCCATTCAACAAGCGGCCCAGCCTTTCTCGCCTTGAGTCTCGTTTTCGCAATGATCATTATAATCATCGACGACACAGCGACTACCAGTCCCATAACTCTCACCGTCCAGCGAAACCCGATCTTGGGGAGAAGTTGCTGCGCAATCAGCGGAAACACGATTCCTCCTGTGCCAGCACCACAAGCACCAGCTGAGATAGCAATGGTCTTCTTGCTAGTAAAATACGTCGACATGTTTGCTATCGTCGGTGCGAAAATGATGCCATTGCCAAGACCTTGGCAGATTCCTTGGGCGAGAAGGACTTGCCAGTACGATGATGCGATACTGGTCATGAAGATGGCGAATATTTGGAGGAAGAGGCCTACGGCAAGGGCAGTACGGTAATATCCTGCGTCGAAAGCTCGGCCGGAGAATGTGCCGATGAAGAAAATGAGGCAGACTTCTAAGCTGCCGATCCAAGAGATTGTTGAGGGTGGAAGTGAAAATTCGGCTTCGTAGTAGGGCTGGAAGATGCCGAAGCTGATGAGGTAACCCCATGAGTTGAAAGCGACGAGATGGCCTGTTACGACTTGCAGCCAGGCTTGTAGCCCGCCATCTGGAGGTTCGCCCGGGTCATCTGTCGTGCAAGCCTGGTTCTCTTCATCGCATTGACTTGGTGTTGAAGCAGCGTCGTCTTGGGGTTTTTCATCACTGAGGGGTTCATCGCGGAGCGTGGGACAGACGCTATCTGAAGTGTCGACAGCCATTTTTACTTGAGAAAACTGAATTGGTCATGGCGAGGATGTGATGGAGTTTTTGTATTCTTGATGCTGGGGTCGGGGTTGAGGCGGGAATGTTTGCGGCCCGCGGGGTTCATCCTCCGATGGAGCAGATCTTCCCGGCATCTGGATACTCGGCCGACGGTTGTGGGGAAGATGATTGGAGGGGGATGGACAAATTACTGTGAATGGGGATTCTGTAAGACATGATATGGATATTTTTTATGAGTCAGGATTGCGCATTGGCTTGTTAATAAAAGGGCGTGAGTCCATATGAATGGTGCTTGCTTGAATGTAGGCATCGTGAAGCAAATTGCATGATCAGTCTTCTCCCTTGGACCGAGGGTCAGGAAGCAATCCCGATCAACTCATATACCATTGTCATAATCAAAGTATGCAAGACTCATTAGTGTCATGACTCATATTCAATTGAGCCATAACAGCAGAAAACAATTGATCTCGTACCAGTTTATTGGCGACACTGCATCTGCTGGTGTCTTGATATTTATGTCAACTCCAAAGTTACCAGCCAATTCTCTTACAAACTCCAACCACCTCAGCCCTACAAGTTACACATGCGACTCATTCGAGCGTGATCGGCGTTGCTTGCCGCGGTTTGGCTTAGAAATGACACATTTCTCAATCTCGAACGGTGAATTCCAGTGGCTATATCGGTTATATCGGCAACATAGGAAATGCCGGGAGCTAAGGAAAAAACGGGACAGAGGACCCGTTTGACGGAAGATGCTTCCCATGACTCAGAAAAGGGACTGCAGTCAGCATTGGTATTCGCAGTGAGACCGAATGATATGACAATCACTGAGGCACTCGAATGGCGGGTAGAGAGCGTAATGTATTGTGCTATTGAGCTTCCTACAAGTCTAATCGACACTCGATGATTGCTATTCTAAGTAAAAGTAAAGAACCCAAACCAGTCTATAGTACTTCTCTAAAACAAATCCTTGTACCAAAAATAAAATAAAAAAGAGCCGAAGCTCGATTGTGCATCTACTCTACTCCTGCTTCTTCTTGTTCTTGTTCTTGGGCATGCGAACAAGCCAGTACAGGAACAGAGCTGCGCCAATGTTGAACACAATGTACACCATTCCGATACCAAAGTTTCTCCATCGGTCATCGTAGGTTGCGGTGAGAGCCTTGAGGAACGTGTTGGTGTCGCTGATGGAGCAGAAGTTGCAGTCAGACGTGGCGTCGGGGTTGAGGACGTAGCCACCAGCCTTGTCGGCGAACTTCTGGAGGTATTCTCCACAAGTTGTGCCGTTGAGGGGCTGCATCTTCGTGTACTCGTTGGCAGCACAGGTGACTTTGGTGTTGGCCATACCCGTCGATAGAATCGCCGAGGCAAGATACGTAAACGGCGATACTCTATACATCCAGATCCAGAAGCCGGGCATGTTATCGGGCGCGGCCAAGATACCACAGAAGAACAGGCACATCATGAAGACGACGTTGGCAAGGTTACCGCCTGCCTCTGCAGTGTCGGTGATGGCGATGCACATGTGGGCAAAGGTACACGTGAAGACGAGGAACTGCCAGATGAGAAGCCACATGAGAGCGCCTCTCTCGGCGGTCTGACCAGCTGCTTCGGCGTTCTTCTGGAAGCCGACGGGGTAGTAGAGGCAGACGAACAGGAAGACAGACATGAGACTGTTCCAAGGAATCTCGGCGAAGACCTGGGAGAGCATGAAGACCTTCCAGCTGTAGGTCTTCGAAGGGCGTTCGCGGACTTCGTAGAGCGAGCGTTGGACGACGAAGTGAGGCATCTAGTAATGTTAGTGAGAGCTGGAGGGGTGGGAGAGTGGTCAAGACTTGCCTGCATCTGAACCAATTGACCAAAGACTGTGAAGACCTGGAAGATGGCAAACATCTGGTTCTGCAAGCCCTGAATAGACAGGGGAGCGTTGAGGAAGACGAGACCGATGAAGAGACCAACTTGGATACAGAGAGTAGCTTTGGAGTAGATGTACGAAGGAGTGCGCCAGTACTGCTGGAAGACACGGAGACTAGCGATGCGAAGCTGCTCCCAGAAAGGCGCAGCGAATTCCCGGTACGATTCGGAGTTAGTGTCATGGGGTTCATTGTGAGCACTACCCTCGGCCTTGAGACGCTGAAGCTCAGTCTGAACCTCTTGATACTCAGGGCTCTGTCGCCAGGTCTGATGCCAATCGATCTCAGTGTGTGAACCAGGTGCCGCACCAATGACCTCGAGCATCCACTCAGCAGGGTTATCACCCTTGGGACAAGGATCAGAACCGTTCTTGACGAAGTAGTTAGTCAAGGTCTCAGAGTTCTCGCCGATGTCGCCAAAGTAGATAGTGCGTCCGCCCTTGGCAAGGAAGAGAAGACGGTCGAAGCGCTGGAAGAGCATAGCAGACGGTTGGTGGATGGTACACAGGATAGACTGGCCTGCCTTGGAGAGCTTCTCGAGAAGGTCGAGAATGGCCCAGGATGTCTGCGAGTCAAGACCGGAAGTAGGTTCGTCGACAAAGAGGAGCAGGGGGGGCTTGGCAGCGAGCTCAACACCAATGGTGAGACGCTTACGCTGTTCTACGTTGAGACCCTCGCCGAGGACACCGACAACGGCGTCGGCGTACTCTTGCATGTCGAGCAGCTTGATGACTTCGTCGACGTAGGCGATCTTCTCGGCACGGGGGGTAGAGGCGGGCTGGCGGAGTAGGGCGGAAAAGGTAAGGGCTTCACGAACGGTGCTGGTCTCGAGATGAAGATCTTGCTGCTGCACGTAGCCGGTCTTTCGCTGGAACGATGAATCACGAATCTTGCCGTCAACGAGCATTTCACCTGTGATGACACCCATTGAGATACGATCGGCGAGACAGTCGAGGAGAGTAGTCTTTCCGGCACCAGATACACCCATGAGAGCAGTCAATGTTCCTGGCTTGACCCATCCGTCAACGTTGTCGAGAATTCGTCGTGGTTCACCCTTGATCTTGATGTCGTAGCACACGTTGTTCCAGTGGAAGACGCTGGTGGATCCTTGAATGTTGGCAACCTCGTTGTTGTTCTTCTCAGCGGCGACAACAGGGCCAGAAAGGGCGGCTTCGGGGTCGGATTTGTTCTTGGTGGAAGCAGGGAGGTGGCCGTGGCGGAAGACGAGGACTTCACCCTTTGACTTCTTGGCAGAGATGTACTCGGTAGCGACGATGTAGACGATGTGGTTGAAGATGGTCATGGCGATGAGGATACCGACGTTGCGCCACTTGTGAGCGTGGTAGTACTT